ATGGCCCCCATAGGCCGGTGGGCAATCACAAAAGACATGCAGCTCGTCCTCAACTACTCCGCAGTCACAAAGCCTATTGTACACGCTGCACGCTCGTGGCCAATAGGCCTGTTAGTTACCTTTCATAATCCCCAAGGACCTGTATTCTGAAACACGTGAGCAACCTGACTCCACTGTAGCTAGCATTTGTTAAGACCATCAAAGCGCCACGGGCTCCCCCCGGGTCCTATTAATGCTGTTACCATCCACTGGTATATGAGTGTTTTCCGGTCATTTCCAACACCAAAGGAGTCCAGGATGTGCCTGTGCAGCTGAGCATATCTATGGTCCTGGCGGATACATAAACTTTTTAAAATCGTGTCATCAATCGCGTATATAATTTAACGCCAGTAAGGCGCTTGAGTCGTTGGATCCCGGCCTTCCTTGATGTTCGGGTACAGTACAACGCGGCTACCTGCTGATGATAACAAGTATTTTACCAATATATTGCCTAGAAAGCTTTGGAGTTACGGAAGCGTTTTTTGGGCGGGGTCCCAGCGCGAAGCGCCCAGGGGGGCCCCGACCTGTAGGATTGCCCATGTCCGCGTGTGCGTGTGTGCGTGTGTGCGTGTGTGCGTGTGTGCGTGTGTGCGTGTGTGCGTGTGTGCATGTGTGCGTGTGTGCATGTGTGCGTGTGTGCGTGTGTGCGTGTGTCCGTGTGTCCGTGTGTCCGTGTGTGCGTGTGTCCGTGTGTCCGTGTGTCCGTGTGTCCGTGTGGCCACATGGCCGTGTGGCCGTGTGGCCATGTGGCCGTGTGTGTGTAACGGACCAAACATAATATTTCACCCGGCTGAAACGCGTTATCGGTACTATATAGCATTCTCTATTGCAAGGTATCTCGACTGTAGCCAACAAAGATCGTATGAGCACAAACAACTTTGGCTGCTTCCATTGACCGAGCTCATAGACACATCAACGCCTCTCGGGCTAAACTTCGTCTCAAAAGGTGTCGTGTATCTCATAATTGAATTCCGAGATGACAGCGTATGATAACTTGAACACCCAGCTCGTGTTACAATTTGCCCGCACGGGCATTCCGACTTGCGGTCTGCCGCACTGTCCATGCGGCATGCACCCGGGATGGATGCGATTCGCGTGGAGCCCGCAGGCGGTGCTGACGATTCCGCCGGTGCAAGCTTAGCTCCCACACCATCAGCACTGCTGCAACAAAGCACATCTCCCACCGCGGTGACACTACCCATCAATTGTCACACGTGCCGCGCTAGCTACCGGCCTGTACGGATGCAGGCTTTTTCCGGCTTCGAGGAAGCCGACACCCGACTTGTCGTCCTAGGCTCATGTCACAAGGTTTCCTGCCAAAACCATCAGCAGTCATCAGTCCAACCCCCGTGGTAGGACATCTATAACAATTACTCAATGCACAATTTTAAACATTATCGCAGAATTGTTTTGCCCTGCTGCACCGCCTGGGATCTGCGATACGCATCGAGGCAGGTACATTAGCTGTCGCGGAGTCCCATGATAGACTTACGTTATGGTCGAGGTATTTATACTATGAGCTTCGCTATTGGTTGATGTCATGTATTTTTGTAGACAATCTAAACTGGAGCGAGGGGCCACCGTCCTCGCAAAAGCAAACGTGCCCCCCCCCCCTTCCCGGAGTGCTGGAGTGGAAGTTGGCTAACGAACTACGGCGACGCCAGGAACACCAATTGAGTTATGACGGGAACGAAGGAAACGCGTGCAGAAATTTCCAGCGGTCGACAACGCACGTTGGCCGGCACGCTGACCGGTCGTAAAGCCACTGCTGATCCCCCAGCAACATATATTGAGGCGGAAGAGCCGTTACTTGGGCCATCGGGCAGCGCCGGTGAAGCTCTCCAGGTCTACTTTTCCCAGCACCACCACCTCCCACCTCCGGAAACGCCAGCACCGTGGCCCTTCCTCCACAGAAGAAAAGGCACACTCAAGCCAACACTGCCGCCACCGGTCCCACTCAGCAGCCAGCACCTCTCCTGCCCACCAACCCCAGCACCACCGCTCCCAAACAGCATCCGGCAACACGCCTGCCCCCCGCCACCCCCAATGCCACCGCCAACCCGCAACGGAAGCGCACCAAGTCCACCAATAAGATCGATGCCGTTGGTGTCCCCCCGGGGTTTGAGCGGCCTCGTAATCCCAACGAGGACATTATTTGGCTGACTGACACTTGTGGTGGTGATTTCAAGAGCTGGGCCTATGCACTTCAGGGCTCGACGACGGTCATCTGTTTTTTTGCGACACACATAAGGAGAGTAACGCCACCATTTCCCGCACGAACTGGGATCGCTCAGCTTACACCCGGCACGAGGCCTCCTACTCCCACAAAGCGGCTGTAGTCCAGTACGTGGCGCCAAAATGTTTTTAGGTTTATTGACCGAAATTATGCCCTCCCGCAGCCGTAGAAACCGATTTGCCGACCTCTGGACATGTATAATGAAAAGCGAAAATGTTGGCATCCGTACATTGGCATCCGAACCGTTTGCTATGTCTCATTTCCAGATACAAAATCCTCTACAGTCATGTGAATGGTGTTTGATTTAGTTTGGAAACGCGAGAAGCCACGGTAGGCAGGTTTGAACGTTGCAACGCACATTTGCGCTTTTTGAACGAACTGCAGCAAATGCACATCTGATGCACGTTTATATGGTATCCATTCCACAGGGTAGCAGAGGTCCGTGCGACCGCCTCCGCGATAACGGTAGTTGGGCACACTGCAGTTGGAGTACTGCAGTGGGGAATGGCTTCTGATGGCGGGGCTGTTGGAGTATGGCGGAGTATGCAGCAGGAGCATAGGGAGAATGAAGTCTCACTTTGATGGGTTGCACAGATAGGGAGGCGCTCCAGTCTCGCTGGCATCCTGAAGGCTGAACACGGTCGAGGAGAGCTATAGTTATCAGTGGTGTTTTAAGCTGCCCCTGCTGTAAAGGGGGCCAAGATGGTCATGTTCGACCCGTCGGTATCAGGTCTCTCCTAAATAAGCGTTCTCCATGGCTTTTAGGTGTATAGATATTGCCCTTGGGCCTTTTACAGGTATGGGGTCACACACCCCCAACCATGTGCGTGTGTGTGTTACATGGCAATATCTATACGCCTAAAAGCCACGGAGAACAGGAAACACCGCACATCAGCCCAGACTAGCGTCCAAAGGGGGTAACTGAGTTTCGGTGAGCCCAGATACGTTCCAACATCCTCGCCAGATGTGCTGGTTCCCATTTCATGGCTCCAACATGCTCTGTTGATGATCGAATCCCTCTTCAGCACGAATATCATTATAGGCTGGGCATTCTAATAACACGTGTTTTTCATCCTCCAAACCGCTGCTCCCTGGGGACATGGTACTTGCTTCGTGCTCTGTTTGCCTCCAAAGCCCAGCAACATAAACGAAACTGCATTAGCTTACGATGTGTCGCCCTGATGTGCTCTAACAAAACGTGCAGCACTGGGACGATACAGTTCCTTCGGCTCGTATGGGTAGTTTTACAGGTATGGGGTCACGCGCTCCCAACCATGTAACACACACACACACACACACAATAAGTGTGGGACACCTGGTGTGTGGACAGGACTGACATTAGAGTGAGGTCCTAAACTTGGCACTGTCCATCGGTTATTGATGTTATATAGCCAAGCGTGCGCTTCGAAAGTCCAACTTCACCAGAACCCATAAATCCAGCCTTGCGTCTGTTACAGGCCATACCGGCACAGCAGGGAAGCCAAATACCTTACAGCCCAAAGTCATCCCCTCGACCCCAAAGCTTGACCACATACTTCTTAAACCTAAATAAAATTATAGCCAAGCGCGCGCCATTGGCCGATGGCCACTCCTGAGATGCCGTCACCGCTGCCACCTGCTGCCGTACGAAGGCCAATCCTGGGACACTGTCATCGCTGCCACCTGCTGCCGCAGCGATAGGTGGCATTTTCCAGCTCGTGAGGACTTTGCATCACCACAACATGGGCATGAGTTGAGGGTCCCAGCCAGAGGTCGGCAAACCCTGAATAACTGTCACGGGTACTGGTGCCAGGGGGGGGACTCCCAGCCGGCCATCCTTCTAAGGCTTCTGGGAAATCTTCTTCAAGGCCTTGCAGATATTTTTTGCAGGTTTTAGCCCGTTTTTTTGCAGGCTAAAAGCTTTGCGTGCTCTCTTCCTAGTTGGTGCCACTGTGACCTTTTTGCTCTTGAAAAACTTCGCGAAGGGATTGTCTATGTACTTCATTTGCAATAAAGGCTACATCAAAGAAATGAGAGTTTACATGAAGCTATGTAAAGAGTGTAGAAAGCATTATTGGCGTTTGCCTGCTTATAGGTGCACTACGAGTCCGCGGTGCATGACTCCTTTGTACTGGAGGTATGCGGCCTAATGGTGGTATTATGTAGAGCTCTCCTGATTACAAATATGCAGCAGTTTTTTATTCCCAAACTTTAGACATTCTTCCGGGGAGTTCGCAAGGTCCCCGTTCACGGAGGAAAGCCGCGCTGGCAGGTCCCCGGCCCTAAGAAAATCTGTTGCTGGGGATGCTGGCATAGCTCTACCAAAGTATGACCGCTTTGCGCAAAATTTAAGCTATAAAGAAAAGCAATAATTGACTCAATTGGTGTTCCTGGCCTCGCCGTAGTTCGTTAGCCAACTTCCACTCCGGGGCATAGGCACTCCCCGGCCGGCCGGCCCCCCCGCGGGGGGGCAGCACCGTCCCAGCAACGGGGAAAAGGCCTTTCAGACACCGCAAATATTCTTGGATCCTTCACTGGTATTATAAACGTCAATTATACATTACACAATTAATTCCCTGCTCATATCTACAGCGGTAACTATCCTCGAGCGGCTGCATCCGAGGACATGTTGCCTCTTTTGACATCTGCATTGCTGGGGCTAAGTCTAACCCCGTTCGCGTACATCCTATATGCAATCATATGGCCCTATCTATGTTCTTTGCCACTACGGATTAAGCTCCAGAACATGCCGGGTCCCCCTGGCCGGATATTTTTCGGCAATGCTTTCGATCTCGTCTACAAGCCAGCGCAACAGCAGATGGCTAAATGGGCAGAAGAATATGGACCTATCTACAAACTGAGCCTTCCAGGAGCCATGGTGCGCGTTTCCAACTGACCATATCTTGAAAGTAGTTTGAAAGTAGTGGAGGAATTCAGTTTCCGTCCTCTGCATTAAGGATATGTATATTAGCTGCCATACGGGATGCGATCGATAGCTTCAGCGTCATCAATCGTTGCAGCGAACCCAAACTGCAACCTCTCCGCAACTTCTCAGCAACGTCATGAGTTACATACTTGGCGAGGTGTACCTTATCTATGTATCTATCTTTATATGTATATCTTTTGCCCCTGTGTGTGTGCTAATCACTACCCGCTTGGCGGATGTTAAGGAGTGCGGGCCGGCCCCAACACCCACTGCCCTGCTCACAAATTGAAGGGATTTGAAGGTTGATAATCACAAATATGAATTGTATGATCCAGCATAGCCAAGCCGTTGACACACACACACACACACACACACACACACACACACACACACACACACACACACACACACACACACACACACACACACACAACTTTCCGTGGCTTGGGTTTTGCCAGGTAGTTCGTTGAGGAGGGCCGTAGTGTTGACGGCTTTGGTTATAGGGTTGGGCTTTGGGGCTTAGGGCGCCGGTAGGGCGGCCCCTCACGTTAGGAGGGGCGCCCAGGTGTTGCAAGGACCCACCCGGGGTGCGCAACCGCGCCTGCGCTGAGGTTGGTCGTTTGAGGGCGCTCTCTTTCCTCTGGACAAAAGGGGGAAACGCGGGGGTGCACGCCCTCGGTCGAGCAGGCGGGGATAGTGGCCTCTCAAGCCCCTCTCCCCCACAAAGAGGAGAGTGCTTCGGGGGTCGCTCATTCCCGTTGGGGTACACCGGGTTAGGTGGCCCTGGCCAGTGTCAGCCCCGGATCGACATGTAACAGAAGCATACACACACATACACACACGTGCGGGCACGTTTCCCCTCGTTACCGTACTTCATCTCCATGGGAATTTTCATACCTCCTTTAAAACCCTAAAACCCTTGAAACCCTTGAGTGCAATGCTTACCGTTATCTTAACATCATATCGCGCGCCTCACACGTGCCTGTCCCAACCTGTCAGGTTGTCGTACTAACGGAACCGGAGGCAATAACAACGGTCATCAAACTGGAACGCTTCGAAAAAGACCGAATGATGTATAAAGTACTGGAAGAAGTGAGTCGTACGTTCGTACCGGTGTTTTGTGGAGGCACTCCCGTTTCGGCCACTCTGTTGCCCCCCGGGGGTTATAATTCCCTCTTCCGTTACGGATACGGAAAAAACATTTCCCCTCCCCCCCTTCAACTGCAAAATTTCTACCCCCACAAAAAAACACAATGCACAATGCACACGCAGATTACCAGCGAGACGCTTCCAAATATGTTGACAGTTCCCACTGGGCCGTACTATCGTGCCGTACGCAAGGCTATAACGCCTGCCTTCAGCAGCGCCAATCTGAGGTGGGACCAAGGCAGGGCTCGACACCGATGGGAGCTGTGTACGGCAGCTGTGTGCGCTTATATTTTGGATAATGAAACATCCCTTTGTGTGTGTATGCATGTATGTGTGTATGCATTCGTATGCATTCTGGTATGCATTCTGGTATGCATTCTGGTATGCATTCTGGTATGCATTCTGGTATGCATAGCATGGCTTTCACATGTTGGCAGCTCGCGTAACCACATGTTAGCATATATCCACGTCTTGAGAACAAGCAAGTGAACAAGAGTATGTATGCGTCTATGCATGTGAGTGTGTGAAAGCGCGGGGGTACACCACCACGCGTCGGTCTGCAAGGGCCACTGATGTCGCGGAACAAGAATGCGAAGGGAGCCGGCGGCCCAATATTTGTTACCTTTGATGTTTAGAGTTTAGGGTTCAACCGTTACTGAAAGAGATGTTCACAGCGACATTACAATTTCATCAGTACGCTGATCAGCGATTAACACGCCAGGGTTACACTCGAGCTGGCGAAATGGTCTCACCTGGACGGACGGCCATCTCGTTCCTTACCCCCGTGCTTGGTGGTCGTTTCCATCCCGAGCCCCCTTCATTTCAACCGCCAAACCCCCCGCCTGTTTAGGCAATTCTTTCCTGAGTTGGTGTCCCTGACGGAGCGCCTGGCGGCGCAGCTAATGACCCACGGGTCCGTAGTTCCAGTGGATGTGGACAGAGCGGCGCAACGGTTAACCATCGACGTCATCGGTGAGTTGGCGGGCGCAGTATGGTGGGCGGTATGTTGGGCGGTATGGTGGGCGGTATGGTGGGCGGTATGGTGGGTGCGGCGTGGTGGGCGCAGGATGGCGGCCGCGGCCGTGCAGGGCAAGCTCTTGGGAGGATACGCGATATGGTGAGATAGCGGGTCCAGGCGCCGTGCGAGGAAACGAGTCCACAAACCCGCAAGTATTCAGTTAACACTTCCAAAGAATGCGTCGCTGTGGTACTTCTGCTGTTTTACATATCTCTACTGCTGATATGCATGCCGTACAGGTCGCTTTGCATTTGACCGCGACTTTGGCGCTTTAGGCTTTAGCCGCAGCGAGGAGCTGGAGGCGATCTGTGCGCTGATGCTTGCGTTGGAGACGTCCCAAAATCCGCTGAACCGCTGGTTTTGGTGGCGTAAGGTGATTGGAGGGAATGGAAGCGGCAGGAGGGGGGAGAAGAGAGAAGAAGAGGTTGGCAGATAGTGCCGGAGATGGGTTGAAGGTAACCCTAAATCTTTAATACCCTAAAACCAGGTAGGGAAAGGTGAAGGGTAGGAGTCTGGGACTAGCGTTTCACTTTGTTCTTAGGGCTCTGTTCGCTGTTCTCTTTTTCGTTTCGAGTTTTGCTTGGTCAACAGGAATCTCCACCGCGCCACGACTTAGGGGATTTTAGGGGCAGAGGAAAATTGAATAATACGTAAATGTCATAACTCGCCTACAGTTAAGCTGACAACCATGTAAATGGCAGCCAGTAGACCAGTCATACATCAATGGCACGCATTCCATGTACGAACGTTGTACAAGAGTAATTGTTTCTGCTACATTCTGGATGTTTTACTTCTGTATTCGACATACGGGTGCTGCAGGAGGCGCGGGAATTGTATGCAGCACGGTTGCGCTATGATGCCCTAATAAGGCGGGTTTTGGACGGGCTACAGCAGCGCCCGCCAGCCGCACACTGCCTACTATCGCACCTGCTGAGGTGCACAGACCCGACTACTGGTGAGATTGACGATTGACTGGTGAGATTTATCTCTTTATCTGATGACCTAATGGCCACCAGATTACGAGATGGCGCATGATTCCTGATAACCGAGAGGACCGGCAGACGTACCATGCATGTCTTTTTATGTAATGCAGCCGTGTGCCCTCGTACCTAATGGCGAGACATCCGTTTTGTATCCTCCCTGCTCATAACAGGCAAACCGTTGTCCGCAAAGCGCCTGCGCTGCGAGACTGCCTTTCTCTTGGTCGCGGGATTCGAGACGACGGGTCACGGCATCGCCTGGTCGCTCTTATTTCTGGCTGGCGACGAAGAGGTGATGAGTCGTGCTGTTAGAAAGGTTTAAACAGTTAAGGAATACAAAGAAATGAACCGTTACATATCGAACTCAAATAGATGGAAGCAAAAACATTCGAGATATACCGATATGATTACAGAATTTTAGTTGCTGACATCCAGATTCGAACTGGAGACCTCCCGCTTACTAAACGGGTGCTCTATCCAACTGAGCTATGCCAGCCGATGAATTTTGGCATCCTTAATCTTTACAAACGTATTGCAGCATAGTGCACGTGAACGTGCTATCTCAGGAAATGCGAGTTACCCACTATGAATACCAACAGCCAGCTAAGCAGAATGAGTGAAAAAAACAGTGCGACTTGCGAGTTTGGTGCGATAACAGCGCAAGTAGGACAAATAAGTAGGACAAGCGATCCTGAAGCTTCACTTGAAGCAATGTTACTTTTCAACAGGACGTAGCCTTCCAGGACATCTTCGCTTAAGTATGCTTGATTGAATATTTTATTATCCCAAGTATCAATTCCGCGTGTCATTTACTCATCATAATCGCTAGCATCGGTGAGGCTTTTCAGACGCTTGGCTTACGACCGTACAACAGGCCTGCTGAATTATGTTGCGGGTTTAATCTTCGGCCGTCTTGGTTCTGTGTACTTAACATACTGCATGACCATGCAGTAGATTACGCTCCTCGCTCCTCACCGGGCTACTGTCAGATTACAATCATAATGCCAAAAATAAAATCAACTACTCAAATGTCGCAAAAACTGCGGGAATCCTTTCATGAAATATTAAGTCAAAGTCGGCCAACAAAACCTTACGGCGTCCCGTACGAGTACGGGCATGTCATCTGCTGCCCTGCTGGTCAACAGGCTATGTACGGTAAACCAGTATCGGCTGACGATGCTTGTACCTGCTATGGTAAGCTGATACGCCTCTTATCCTGTTAGCACAGAAATGCGTACTTGGTGCATGCAGGCGGAGGCTCGGGTAGCTGAGGAGCTGGACGTCTGCGGGCTGTTGGCGACGTCCACCCGACCCAAGCCGCGACCGGTGACGTGGGGCGATCTGGGCCAACTACGCTATCTCAACGCAGTCATCCAGGAAGCCCTACGACTGATGCCGCCAGTTTCCGCTGGCACCATAAGGTGTGCACGTCCATGCGTGCATGCATGTGCGTTTCTGTTGCGTAAAGTGCAGTGGAAATGCCTGCTTGCAAAGGCGCAGAGCGCTTTTGCTTTATCCTGCCGGAGGGGGCTCCACAGCAGAGCTTGTGCTGTGGATGACAGAAAACCGTAATACTTGCTCCACAAATCCATGAAAATGTGAAAGCAATTATTATGTGGATTATCCTTGCATATCTGCAGCATGCCATCAAATCGGGCAAAATCAGGCTTGATTTTGCATTTTAGTTACACAACCCCTCCTGCTTGTAAGCCGGCAGATGAACATTTTTCAATGAATTCCTGCGGGGCTTGTACGCATGAATAATCGTGGAAAGGCGTGTACATTAGAAAAAGTATATAGAATGGTGCATGAATTTACATCTTATGTCTTAAATAAGCACTCCACATACGGCACGTACGGCATATACGACGTGTACGACATGCACACAGGACTGCTCCACGGGACACGCGGCTGGCGGGCAAGGATGTTCCCGCGGGTGCCACAGTGTGGGTAAGATTCCCATGGGGATCGGCAGGGAAGATATTTATGGTATTTTGCTAGACTTACATGGCACATGATGAAAAAACGTTTGCTACTGCTGCTGCTACGGCTACGGCTACTGCTTCCCTTATGCTGGTGTTCCTGACGCTGCCAAACTTTCCCCTCTCGGGCTAAGGCCAGCTGATTGGCATTAGTTCTATTCCAACGGCAGGTTTCGGAGCCTTTTGACGAATCCTTACCCACGTTTTAATCACCCATGACCCGGCATCGACTAACCTTGTCCCCCGGCCGGTTACTCGATTAAACAAAAAAACACGACACGGATGAAGTTCGGCTCAGGACTTCGCGACATATTTTTGTGATGGCACAACAGCATGTTGTGTTTCGCTGACGTAGGAATATAATCCCTTTGCGCCGTCATCCGCCCCTCAACCTCACCCGCAAACCCGTTTGCTCCCCCATCACCGTCAATACCGCCACCGTGGCCAGATTCCACACTACGCCGTACAGCGGTCGTCCCGCACTTGGGGAGCGGACGCCGGGAGATTCCGACCAGAACGCTGGCTGACCGGGTTTAGTGGACTGCAGCAGCAGCAGCAAGGAGAGAAGGAGGAGGAGGGGAAGCTGCCTAAGGGGCAATCGGAAGGCGTCACCGACGGCGGCGGCAGCAGTGGCGGCGATGGCGCAGTACGACGTACGGCTGCAGCAGCGGCAGCGGTGATGGCGACGGATGATGAGGAGGAGATAGTCAAAGCCGCTGCGACCACCGCGGTGAGGAAGGATTTTTCCCGTGCTTTTCCGAAATCCTGGATCTGGATTTGGATTTGGATCTGGATTTGGATCTGAGCTCTCACAGGATATATTTTTTGGGGAAGCGCCTTTTTTTCCGTATTAAGAGGTATTTGCAGGTTTTCATTTCTAGAGGTCATTGGTCGTTGTTTGGACTTTTGCTTGTCTTAACCGCTATTCACAACGCTTTCCTTTTAAAGCGGGAACTAAAGGGGGTCCCCTTTAGGAAAACACCTCCCCCGCCACTTCACATTGCCTCATCCAACTCCTACATCCATTAACCCCTCTCCTGTCGACACATCCCCATCCCAACCACCACTACCGACCACCACTACCCCGCGTCCACAGGCTCGCGGCTGGCTTCCCTTCAGCGATGGTCCCCGGAACTGCGTGGGCCAATCCCTGGCGCTGTTGGAGCTACGGACGACCTTGGCGACGCTGTGCGGCAGGTTCAGGTGAGGCCGTACATGGTTTCGGGGCTGGGGGCTGTGTAAGGCCGGACGTGGTTTGGCCGAACACCCACTTGTGATGACCCATCGACCCATCGACCCACTGACCCTTCCTGTGTAACAGATTCCGGCTGGCCGAGGAGATGGGCGGCGTGGAAGGTGCGTGGATGGGATGGGAGGGCTGCCTGAGCCGGGGCTGGACACGGTGAAGGCGATATCGGCACCCCCCGGTGGTGGGGTAAGCGGCTGATAGGGGCTTGGGCAGGGCCCCAAGGAGAAGGGGGGGAGAGGGTACCCCCCCGAGGAGGTGACCCCCCTCCTCTCCTCCCCACTCTCCTCCGGCCCGCAAACGAATAAACCTCCCACTCACATCCCCTCGACCGTGGGGAGAGGACATGACTCCTGACTCTGGGCTCCTAGCGTGTGACACTTCACACACAACAAACATCCCCCCTCGTCTTAATTTTCGGAGGCTCCTCCTTCAAGGGCATTCTTACTTGTAATCCTAGCTTGATAATTGTGTCTGTGCCATCGCTCCGAAACCCCGTACGACCAGATTTGGCGCTGCGCACTACCTTGCGCCTCTATCATACCTTAATCACGTCATGAAAAACCGCGCGGTGTAGGGGGCCCGTGCCTGTATGGCCTGGTATGTCTGTTTCACACTGTATGCCTTTATTCAACGTTGTGTGCGTTGTGTACATTTCCACATTCTCACATTTCCACATTCTCACATTTTCACGTTTTCACATTTTCACGTGTGTTTACTCAGGCGTGGTGGCGGCTGCCCGCCAGGATGTTACCCTCAAGCCGGGTGACAAGGGCCTGCTGATGCACGTTATCCCTCGTGTACCAACCTAGCCTAGCTTAGCCTCGCCTCGCGCCACGGTCGGGTAGGTTTTACTTTCACCCCTGGCACGACGGCACACAGATCAAGCGAGCCCTGCGCGGAGAGCCGGCCCCCAACTGTCGTCGCTGCCGCCGCTGTTGTTGCACCGCTTATCACGACTATCGCTGGGGGGCGCAGGGGGAGAGTACGGAAGGGAGTCTGAGGACGTGACTGGAGCTCTGAGTCTTAGTCTTACTATGGAGTCTTACTGAGTCTTCGTCTTACTATGGAGTCTTACTATTGAGTCTTTGGCGCGTTCGTCTGCAGCATGCGCTGTCATAACGTACAGGGTATATACCGGAATGTTCTTTTCTTTATTACGAGGTAAAACAGCTGCTGGAGAGCGGCCGAGACGGGGGACACGTTCTTCAGAAAGCAGAAAGAGATGCCGTGCGTGGATGTTGAGTACCCTGATGCAGTGATGATCTTCAACAGAAATGCGTTAATTAGACATTTTCATTTGGTTTGGCGGCGAGGCTCCTGACAATTTTGTTGATTATGAACAATAATGAAGGATGGAGTGTTGTACATCTGTCTTGTCAACGTTGTCTTAGCTGGCCGCTGAAAAGGCCTCTGAAGATGCTGGCGGAGCACCGCAACGCGTTATAATTTGTAAACGTTATCTGTGCCGTACTATGTACCAGCTACTAAACTAACGAAGTGGTGAAATGTTGAAATGAGTCGTGTTTCGTTAAGGACTGTACATTTGAGGACCTGACGCATAAAGGACGTGGGTTCCTATTTAGGCGACTGTGCGGATCTCAAAGACAGACCCATACCTGCTTGCCATGTCAGTTTCTCCTCCTTCCCCTCTCCTTCCCCTCCCTTGCCTCCTAAAGGAGAACGCAACGAATCTCCAAGACATCGAAGCGTTTTCGACGAACGTAGCAACTGAACTCACAACTAAAAGTTAATAAAAGTTAACTACAATAGGCTACGTGCGCCAGGGTGTTCTTCTAAACACTATGCCACAAACCAAACTGTATATACAAACTCTGGAACTCTGGAACTCTCTCAGCCACTGCTGGATCTAGCTGGATCTTATTATTGTCTGTGATACCTGCAATAACTGTCATGGCAAGTTCGTTTACCCGCTGAATGAGACTATTCATGTCTCTCCTAATGCCGCCAATCGACACTTCTGATGGACGTGCAGGTAGGGTAGCAAGCGTCGTGAATAGTGAATAGAAAAATAGAAACGCGGGATGTCATTTTTCAGAAAGGAGGATTGATGGTCTAGTCCATTCAAGTATTAACCGCAAAGAAACTCTCGCCCTATTTTCTCGCATTCGCTTAGCATGCTTTCAAGCGGCACATTACCTGGATAATACCAGCGCGCGCGCCCTGTTGACTTTTCTCGTACGGCTGCTCGTCGTACTTGACAAGTCGTACTTAACAACTCTAAGAACGGAAGGGACCTCTCGACCTGTTACAACTTCAGAAAATCAAGAAAAGTTGCAAGATCGTAAGGTACGAAGTCTGCCGTACGCACGTGTTTTGTCGATGCTGCTACAGTCGTACGACGCGACATTGGTTCGTTGGAAGGACAGTAAGAAGCAGCTCTGACGTGCATTGCTAAGCCATAAACGGTTGCCCCCAACCGCCACATATTGGCAAGTTTCAATTTTTGAGCAAGAATGTTAACTGCCGTACACTGTACGGCATTGCACTTCGACATTTAACTGGCTCCAAACACGGCAGCAGTTATTTCTGCCATATCAGACAAACAATTTTGATACCAACTGCCACAACGAACTAACGTAAGCATTTTCCAATTAAAACATTTATCATCACTACAAATCCTACCGCTAAACTAAAGCTGAACGGCCATTACGAAACAATCAAACCAACGAGCTAATCCAAGATTGCGCTGCGGTCCTCAGTCCTTTGCTGTACAATGAATGACTGCTGGCTACCTCTGCCTAGTCCCTGCCTCGCAGTGCATAACACGTGCCCCCATTTGCTGCCGTACAAGTACGGAAACTAACCCTAGTGCCTTTTCCATTCCCCCGAAACACAACTGAGTGAACAGAGTCGACCTCCACCTGCGAGAGCCAAACTCTAATTTTTAAACCAACAAGACCAACCTACCTACCTACCGAGAGACAGACAGACAGACAGACAGACAGTCAAACAGACAGACAAATAGACAGACAGACAGTCAAAAACACAAGACAGCATCACAGCAACGCACTCCGTACTTCGCGTGTAACACCCTGGGACCCCGCGCCCAGGGTGGCGGCCGCCCTGCCGTACCTGCCGTACCTGCTGAGGTCTTCGGAAAGGGCTCCGAACTGAGGCCTGGAAACCTGCCGAAGAGAACCGCGGAGAATCCAACATGGCATGTACGATACTATGTACAACACAGACAGAACCGAGGAGAATGTAACACGGCAACTTGTCACGCCGCCTCATCTCATCGTAACCCATCGCAACCAACACCAAGAGCAGCTACAGCCACAGCAGTTGCTGCAGCAGTAGCAGCAGCAGTAGCAGCGACAGTTCACTAGAGGTCAGCCGTCGGCGCCGCCGCCGCCGCCGCCGCCGCGGCTTGTCCCGCTGCCGCCGCAGCAGCAGCCGTTGCCGCCGCCGCCGCCGCGGCGGCGGCGGCAGCGCCGTCCATCGCGCTTCGCCGCAGTAGCGCCCGGACCAGAAACTGTAGCAGTAATGCCGTAGACGTCGCCCACGCCGCCAGCGCCATACCTGCCGCCAGCCCTACCGCCGCCGCCGCCAGCGCAAGGCCCAAGCCGTACCCCACAACGGACAGCGCCGAAACCACCCACAAACCGTTCCACAAGCACAACAACACGCACGCGAAAACCACGGGCGCAGAGGCCGTCAGCAGTAGCGCGCCCACGGTTAGCCACGGCAGTAGCAGCGCCGCCAGCGACGCGCACCTTGACACCAGCGGCGGCACTAACAGCTCCCGTGCTGCAGCCGACAGGTCGCTGTACGAATACGAGCCTGTGGCGATCAGCTGCGCCGTCGCGCGTACGCGTAGGACTTCGGCGGCGGCGACGAGCGGCCGGCACCGACTGGCCCGTGGGTCAGCGCCGGCACGCAGTAGCAGCCGGATGGCGGCGGTGCCGCCGGCGGCGCACGCCCGGACGAGCGCCTCACTGCCGCTGACCCGTGGGTCAGCGCCGGCAGCCAGCAGCAGCTCCAACACAGCTACGTGACGTGGTGTACGACCTTGACTTGCGGCAGCGAGCGGCGGCGCCAGGAGCAGCCTGGCGTCGGCTTCTGACCAGTGCTCGGCCGCCGTCCAAGTCGCCGCCGCCGCCGCCGCCGCCGTCAGCTCCGCCGCGTTCGTGTCGTGCAGATGCTCCGGAGCGACGACGCCGTCGATGCCGTTTCGCACCAGGCCGACAGCCTGCAGCAGTTGCCGTACCAGAGGCTCGTTGCCACACCAGCAGGCGGCCTGCATCGCCGCCACGACGGCTAGCGTCGGCGCGCCGGCGTTTACGAGCTCCCGTACGACGGCGGCGTGATTGGCGCGCGCGGCGCCGCGCAGAAGGGCTACCAGGGCTTCCTGGCCATCGTCGCCGCCGCCGCCGCCGCCGCCAAGCAACGCACGGAGCTGGTACGGCTCCTGCACCGGTGCCGGCGGCAGCGGCGGCGGCGGTAGTTGTTGCGGTTGCAGCGGTGGCGGCGGCGCTTCCAGTTGTGGAAGGGGTTCCTGGTGCTGCAGCGGCGGCTGCAGCGGCGGTAGCGGCACTAGCAGAGGATGCAGCTGCTGTCCTCCTGTCGGCGACGGCGGCAGCGGCAGCGGCGCCGCCGCCGCCGTCGCCACCAAGCCGACGGCCCCTTCCGATGCCAGAGCTCGTACGAACGCGAGTGCTGCCTCGTCGTGCCGCTCCAGGGGCAGGCCACGCAGCAGCGCTCGGAAGATGGTGCCGCCGCCGCCGCCGCTGTCATCACCGCCGCCACCGCCGAAGCTTCCTGAATAGGCATAAATCGCCGCCGCGCCTCGACCGTGCCGATTAACCAGGAACTTCGCCGCCAGGACGGGATCCGACAGTGCCGAGCGCCAGGCGTCGCGTAGGGCCCGGCAGGAACGTACGGCACCGCCTGCGCTTCCCGCGGCGGAGATGAGGATGCTCTGCAGTAACGGCTGAGGCAGGGATGTCAAGGGCGCCCGGGAGGTGCCGCTGCCGCCACTGTGATTTTTGTTCTTCTTGTTGCCCGGCGCGCCGGTGCCGGCGCCAAAAAAATTGGCGGACTTGGGATGGCCGCTTGACAGTCCTGACGATGATGACGATGACGAAGATAAGCGCGAGGAGTCTTCAAGCTGATGCTGGTCATTAATTTGATTCTCAATTTGCTCATGCTCAGAAGAAAGGTGAGGATCTTGGCGCCTCGCTGGAGAAAGGAGCAGCAGGAAACTGCGCGCGAGCCGCAGCAACACCATCGATTTGAAAGATTACAGCTTTCTATCGCTGGCAATATGATGCTATGTCGGATCTGAAAGATACTTCCTTGTCTTAACAAAAGAAGAAGCTTGTTTCGCACGAGTTGAAGGTGCTTGTGGTGCTGTTGAGGGTGGCAGGTCAGCAAAGAACGCCTGCGCGCAAGGGCGCGCGCGCAGCACGTGAGCTATGGGATGAAAATCCCTACTGCCACTGCTAAGAAAAAGGCGCAAACGATTTTTTCCTGGAGCGCGCGGTTGCACGCAGTCACACTGTTTGGCCTCTCCCGTCGGGGAGCAGGACGCAGCGCCCTTGCCCCTTTGCGGAGCTTCCTCCCCCCTCTACAAATCCATCATGACGCAAAAATTTTTTCACAGCAACGAAGAGCGGCTTTCCTCTGCTGGGCTGCCTGCTCCAAAGGTCACGTGGAAGAGATGTTTCACGTGAAAAGTGCCTTGGACTGCTTGGAAAAGCTTATACACATCATGCATCATGTGTCAAAAAAATCTAATTCCGATAGTACGTTCTGGTCTTGCTTTTCCATGCGCTGAATACATTTCATGGGAATGAGCATTTGCTTTGCAGATGCGAATGTTATTTGGCCTTGCCGGTCGTTCAGGTTTCGAGAGGCTGTAGCCTTGATAGGCGCAAGCATTTTTCAGCTTAATTCAACCCACAACGTTAGACCTTGGCTTTTATCTTTTCAACGTTGTCATCCGGTTGCATGCAAACCCAAACCAAACGAGCAGCTGACGTCATGGATCGAATGAAAGGACCTGCGGCCTGCAGGCTGCAACACTGTTGCACAAATAAAGTGCGTCCTGTGGTCCTAATAGGGTCCCAGTCCTCCAGGATTGCCCATCGCCAGCACGCCTGGGTCCCTGCCGCTACGTGTTGGGCTGGTGACCACAAACCCGCCGCCTTCGATAGCAACTAACATTTTAACGGAACAACAGTGACGTAAGTCGACACCCCTAGCACTATCCACTGTAATTACGGCTTCCAGTATTAGTCGCAGCAGCGCTTCCTCGCAGCATGCAAAAAGCCAAATTCAGCTTCGCAACGAAGCTCTGAATACTATCAGGTCGTTACTGCTAATTTATGCAGTTCGTTCCAAATCCCAAACGCGGCCACCGAGACGTGTTTTTGAATTTTGGGAGCGCATCGAAAAACAAACTCTGGCCTGGACACCTCTCTGCTTCACCATCGGCAGGAGCACCAGGAACGCCAGCAACAACACGCAAGAAACCAGGGCGATAGGATCGACGCCAAACTTCATTGTTCCCTTCCCGCATTTTCCTCCGGAGCTCAGTTACCTTGAAGCCGAAGCCAGCGATTCGATGTATCCGCCGCCTTCTGCGCCGCGTCAGCCTCTTCCTCAAGATCACGCCGCCAGCGTCGAGAGCGGCGTCGGCAAGAAGCGCGGACTGCTACGGCGGATGCTAGATAAATGTGAGATGAAACACGAAAGCGATTCAGAGCCCATGGCGTTCGACCCCGTTTACTGTAAGACAATAGCTGCGCGGCCGAGCCGCGCCCGAAACATTTTTCAACCTCTTGAATATATCTCTTTTATCTTTTCTTGTTGGAATATTTAAATTTGCTTCGTTTTTCATTTTCCGCAGCTCTTCACAGTTCAATTAGGAGCTTTGTTGATATCGCTTTGTTGACAGGTCGTGCCACTACCTTCGTGTCCTACCGCCTCCTCACAAGCGCAAGGTACCATACATCGTTGCATCAAACCTCACCTCACCTTACCTGGAAACGGCCTCGTAAATTTCGCATGGGTCCTCGTACGACACGTACGGCGTTTCGGATATCATATATCGTGCATGTGCAGTATTTCGGGAAATCATGTTGTCTTCGTTCGGGTACCTAAGTCTTGAAACCTTACATCCTGCTCCGTGTCTATATGCGTGTGTATATATGTATATACACATACACACATACACTACACACTCATATATATGTATGTGCATATGTGAGACAAGTTAACTCTACTCCCCTGCCGCCTTGTCTTGTTCCGCCCAAAGCTTTGGTTTTTTGCTCCATTCCTCTTTTCACAACTGCGCCCTCGCCCCGAAACCAAACCCGTTTCCAGGGCGAGTCAAATTGGAGCCGGGGCTCTTGGCTCGCGCAGAGGCCGAGGCCGAGGCACACATGCGACGGCAGCAACAGCTACAGCTGCAAATACAGCAGCATCAGCAAGAGCAGCTACAGCCACCCGGCACTGCAGCAATTACTGCTACAGCACCACCACAGCAACAACAGCTGCAACAACTACAGCTGCAGCAGCCACCACTGGGTTCCCCGAGGGCCGTACAGCCGCCTCCGGCAGCCCCTGGAGCCATTCCGCCGCCGCCGCCGCCACTGCCGTCACCACACTTGCTGGCCCCAGCGGCTTCCGTACAGCACACCGAAACCAGTACCGCACTGAAAAAATCGCTACAACCGCCCCAACTAAAACCAGAGTCGCAACTGTTGGGGCAGCTCCAAAAGCAGCACCAGCAGCAAAGGCAGCAGCAGGCTAATCAGGGTGATGCAGAGCCTGAAAGGGCCTTATCCAGCCCAAAGCAGAAAACACCCCTGGAGTTTTATCCGCTTGAGAGCAATGTACGGCAGTCGCCGGCATCTGCCAAACAGCCCATAACGCCGCCGCCGCCGGTGCCGCTTCCGTTAGGTACTACAGTGTACGGCAGGAGTGGTGGCGGCGCTGCCGTCGACGGCGATCCTTCTGAAGGTCATTTTCAGGCGGCGGGGCGGCCGGGGGCAACGGCTCCGAAACCGGGCGTGTCGGCTCATGAACCCGAGCTTGTTGCAGAACCTGCGGCGCTGACGCCGCAGCCTTTGGAAGGTCTCGCTACTGCTGCTGCTGATTCTCAACGGTCTCAACGATCCCAACGGTCCCAACGGTCTGCCATACCACAAAAATCAATCCTAGGTGCGGAGCGCAGCGTCGAAGCGGCGGCTCCGACGGCGGCGATGTCCCTTGGGTCGTTGATGTGCACAAGCGGTGGCTGTGGCAGCGGCGGTGGTGGCGGCGGCGCAACCTCGGGTGTACGACCGGCGGGCGACCGGCAGGCCCCCGTCGGCGGCGTCAGGCAGGAAGCAGTACGGCTGCCGGAGGATGTCCGTACGGCACTGCGACATGCTCCCGTACGCGTACCCGAAGCGTTGAAGTTGCTTCGCGACAGCGGCGGCGGCGACCGTGGAGGTCATGAAGGCGGCGGCAGCGCCGCCGCCGCTGCCGCCGTCGATGGCGGTGGCGTCGGTGGCTACGGCGGCGGGTCTTCCGGTTGGTTTCGGAGCGATGGCAGTAGCGGCCTTCGGAGCTCTGTCGGCGCCCCCGGCCTGGCAACCGTGGGTTCTCAGAGTTCACCTTTTGACTTTCCCGGCTTACGTCCCCAACGGCAATTTAGCGCCACGGCGGCAGCGGCGGCGGCGGCGGCGGGGGCGCCACAGCATCATCATCCACGCCGTACAGAGGGCAGAGTTCCCAGCGACGATAGCGCCTGTGCTCGTCCAGCAGCGACGCGGAATACGGGTGCGAGCGCCGGCCATGGCGGCGGCAGCGGCGGCAGTGGCGCGGGTAGCGCTGGCGACGGCTTTTGTCCAGCGCCGCCGTCGTCATCGTCGGCGCCGCCGGAGGTGCTCCGTCGTCCTGGCTTGGACGGCGGGACTGCGGACCGTCGTGCAGAGTTCGCGTTCGCCGATTTGACCACCCTGGAGCTGACTTCCTCTCCGTCAGCGGCGGCGGGGGAAAGGCCCTCCCTGGAGAGCGGGGCCGCCTTCTCAGCGGGTTGGCCAGAATCAGCCGTACCTTCCGCCGTCGCTACCTTCGCCGTCAGCAGCGCCATATCGGACAGCCGCATAGCCCAATTCACGACAGGAAATAGAGCTGACACCACGACAACAGAGCAGGGTCTACAGACGCCGCCGCCGCCGCCGCCAGCGGCGGCGGCGGCGGCGGCAGGGATAGGCAGTGGCGACGCTAGCCACGGTAGGCTGCGACGGAGCTTTTCAGGATCAGCGGATGTACGGCAGGAGTTGCTGCCTGCCGTACGAGCTTCGAATGATTTTATGTTGGGTGCGGAGAAGCACACGGGGACCTTGATGTTGTACACGCCGCGGGGCGGCAGCTCCGGCCAGGCCTCTGGCGGCGGCGCCGCCGGGGCAGCGGGCTCCCCTGGCGACGCCGGCAGTAGCCCATTTAGGTTCCGGACTGACGGAGCGGCGGCGGCGGCGGCGGCGGAAGGCTCCGAAACTTGTCCATGGCGGCCGCCCGCCTGGCGGTGCTCCACGACGGGACATTCAGAACTGATCGGCAATTCCCTCCGCTTCGCTCCGCCGCCGCCGCCGCCGTCCGCCTTGCCGCCGCCGTCAACGACCTCACAGACCAGCCCGCTAAGCCCGGAGCGAAGCCCCGACGGTGGCGCTATGCAGCGCCGTCCATCGTCACCGCCGCCACCGCCGCCGCCACCGCCGCCGCTGCTACAACCGTTACCCTCGTCCACCGGCCGCAGCGACGGCGGCGCCGCCGCCAGCGTTGCTCGCCATCTTGGTCTCTTAGCGGCGGAACCTGCAGGCGCGGGCATTCCATCGTCAGAGTACGACAGGTGCGGCAGCGGTGGCGGCGGCGGCAACGTTTGTATTGCAAGTACGCCGCAGGAGCTGCGGGGCTCAAATGGCACGTCGCCCAGCGCCGCGGTAATGGTGGCGGCGGCGCCGCCGCCACCGCCGCCATCAAGCGGTTCCTTTAGATCGCGCAGTGGCGGCGGCGCCGTGGCGAATTGGCAACAGTCTGAGTTGTACCGCCTAACTGCGCCGGACAATTCGACTGTCGTACATGATGGACGTCAGTCGCCGGACCAAGCACAGGCATCCCCGGAGCACAAACAGCCACTTGGCGAGGCTGCGGCGGCAGCGGCGGCGGGCGACGTCCTAAACAATGCTGTGCAGGGTACGACATGTGTACGACGGCGCGGGGAACAGGTAGCGGATCTGGAGTCTGCGGCGGCGTTGCCGAATGTTGACGGCGCGGAAGTCACCGCCGGAGGCGAGGCAGCAGGGGCCGGCGGCGGCGGCGACGGTGGCGGCGATGGCGACGGCGGCGGCGACGGCGCCACGGCCGGTGGCACCGCCGCCGCCGCCGCCGCCGTGGCGGCTGCGGCTCTGGATACACCTGAGGCCGAGGACAGCAGCGGCGAATTCGGTCCCGATGCCCCTGTTGCGGGCGGCAGCGGCGGCAACGGCAGTACGGGGCGGCAGGCCATTATGGACGAGCTGGATCGTTTTATTCTTCAGATCCAGGACGAGCTGACTGAGGTGGCCGTACAGCGCGAACACACCAGCTTTCGGTGAGTGAGGCGGGGTGTTGCATTTCCGTACGGGGGGAAAGGGGGGAAATGAATCAGTTGGGAGCAGGGTTTCTAACGGTACTAACGGTAAAGAAACACCACACACCCACACGCACCACTTGGTGGCCATGTCGAAGTGGATCAGCCTTGGCTGGCGATTGATGGCCAACGTGTTTCTGTCTGTCCGTCTGTCTGTCTGTCTGTCTGTCTGTCTGCTTTAAGTTTGTGTCAACTGTTTAAGTGCCCTAAGTTTGTACCTGTCGAACGGTTATGCTGGTTGCACCGTTTGTGTCGGTTACAGCGTCTGTTATACGGGTTGTGTCGGTTGCACCGGTTAACTCCAAGATAGGCTGATATATATTTCAGGTGGCGGAGATAATGATGGCGGCATTGACACGCACAGTGTGTGTAAAACCCTTGCTGTGCTCGCCCCGCACCCTTAATGCTCCGAAACCAAACCCGGAAGCCAGATCCCGGTCTCCCTTTCCCACCACTCGTGCCCCCACGCCCAGGCTACGCCTGATCGCGTCCCTGCTAGAAACTTCGTCTCGTCATCCAACTGCTATTCCAACTGCCGCCTCAACGGCCACACCAACCGCCACGCCAACCGCCGCAACTACCGCATCCTGGGATCCTACCGGCGGCGGCGCCGCCGCCGCTCCCCCCCCAGTGTCCGCATTGAATGAGCGGTTGTTGGACGAGCAATGGATGTTGCGGTTGCACCTGGCGGCACTGGAGTCACGTGATGAGCTGTTGCAATTCGCGGCGAAGGAGTGGGCCAAGGCGCGCGCTGTGATGACAGGTATGTCTGTGCGTGTACGAGTAGGAGTACGAGTAGGAGTACGAGTACGAGTACGAGTGTGTTTTTACGCTGGCACTCTCTGTCCCATTCTCGTCCCACTCTCGTCCCACTCGCCGCTCGTCACTCTTTCACCCCACTCTCGGCCAGGTGTGCGTGTATCTCGGCGCCAGGCAGGGCCGTTGCAGGCCATACTCTTCTCAGACACACTCGCACGCATAAGAGCGTTCCAGAAAGAGCAACAACTGCAGCAGCAGCAGCAACAGCCCACGCCGCCGCAACAGCCGCCAGCTCCACATGATCATCATCATCAGCAGCAGCAGCAGCATCTGCAACAGAAAGTGCTTCACCCGGATTTGAACTCAGATCTGGATCAGCGTCGTACATCAATGCCCCCGCATGGCGTCGGTCTGGTTCGGGAGGGGTCGGCGCGACAACTGCTGACGTCGTCGTCTACAGCGGCGGCGGCGGCTGCCGTCGCCGCGACGGGACCCGCCGCCGACTGGCGGAGCGTCAACAGCGGCGGCGGCGGCGGCGAACGCTCAGGACCCGGTTCCAGTCAGCCTCCGCCGGCGCTGTTAGGTGCTCAAGATCGTGAGCGGATGAGGCCGCCGCCGCCGCCGAGACAGCCGCCGCCGCCGCCGCCGCAGCAGCAGCAGCAGCAGCAGCAGTCGGCCGAGAGCCAGAGCCTTCGTGGCGCATGCAGGCAATCGACCTTGGCGGCGTCGCCGCGAATCGGTGTCGCTGGCGGCGCCAGCGGTGCCAGGCTGCCGCCGCCGTCGGGTCGCGGCGGCGTCGCCGGGGCCTGTCGTACCAGGCGCCGGCTACAGCCCATCTTAGAGCACGGCGGCAGTAGCTGCGGCGGCGCCGGGGGTGAGGGGAAATCCTTGGGAGAGGTGGCCGCCGTCGCATCAGTCGGACAAGGTCCTGCTGGGCAGCAGTACGACGCGTACGGCAGTCAAGGCACCAGCCGCTACCTGGCCGCGTCGCAGAGGTCCGCCGCAGTCCCCGGCGGCGGCAGCAGCGCCGGCGGCGACCTTGACTACCGTACGGCGGCGGAGCCGCGGGTGGATGTGCGGAATACGTACAGTATGTACGGGGAATACGGCAGACCCTCGAGGGCCCCGCCAACGCCACGGCAGCAGCAGCAGCAACATCGGCTCCCAGACAGCCAACAGCGCGGAGGCGCCGAAGCGGAGTACGACGACGACATGTACGAGCAGATGTACGATTATTTGGAGCAGCACTTATCGGCTCAACATGGTACGGCAAGACCATAGGAACGAGATTCGTTTTGCAAGACAGGGATTGTTTTTTGCACGTCGGCAGACGTATGAAGTGTTTTCGTAAGAGTTTCTCCTAATGACAAAGTTACGTCTGCACAAAAGCGCACCCCTAGGCGCGGTGCTGTTAAGAACGTAACGAACCCTTCGGTTTTAATGCGGTTTTAATGCGGTCAACAAAGGGAAAGATAAATTGGAAAAGAAGAAGTTGACAAAGTAGCAGCTGGCGCAGCAGTCACCATGCAATACATATCTTTTTTACCATGTAGTCACGATATACAATAATGTGATGCAGAAAATTTTGAGTTTGAACAGAATTTTGAAATTTTGGGACAGAAAATGCTTTTGTTCGCCGCATTCCGTTTCTTTGGAACCCCGATCTCGACCGCATCTCACGCAGCTCATCTGACTTCCGTACTCCGTATCTGTTGAGACCCCAAAGCCCCGCCCCGTCCTTTCCCCGGCCTCCCTCGCCTTCCCCCAGCCTCGGAGCACTGTTTCTCCGTGAACGACAACTGCGAGTACGACAATTATGATGATTTCGTACAAGGGCCGGTCATGTCGCCTAGTCGCCCGGGCGGCGGCGGCGGCGGTGGCGGGGATGAGGAAGAGGAGGAGCTTGGGGTTTGCGAGGAAGGGGAGGGGGAAGGGGAGGGGGAAGGCGAGGGGGAGGAAGGGCACGAGGGTAAGGCCCAGGATGGCGGTGAAGAGTACGACACCGAGGAAGACTCCGAGCTCCAATCTGCGTTCTTAGCTTCTTGCATAACCCTTGCTCGTACATCTTTGGACATCCAAAGCCCTTCCAGTGCAGCGTACGGCAATCGGTACGGCGCCCCGTACACATCATCCTCACCGTACACAAACCGTGGCCATGACGCGGAGGACGAGCCGGAGGTGGTGGTAGAGACGCTGGACGCGTACGGCAGGTACGCTGCCGTCGGCGTCGGCGTCGGCGGTGGCGGTGGCGGGAGCTACAAGTCGCCGCCGTCCGCTGCCAGGTGGCCGGCGCCACGTGCAGTTGCTGGCGGCGGCGGCGGCGGCGGCAAGGCGCGTGTGACCCAAGGCGCGTTTGGAGGTCCACGTACGGCGGCAGCGACGGAGTCGATGCCGGCACCGCCGCCGCCACAGTCGTTTCAGCAGGGTTGTCACGAATCAGGGGGTCGCCCTACGGCCACCCCCTTGTCGACGACGCCGGGGGCAAGACCATGTTCCCAATTCCTACAGTACAACCCGTACGACATGTCGTCACCGCATCACAGCGGTCGTCCGATGTCGTACCAACCGCAAGCGATGACCAACCGGCAGCTGCAGCAGCAGTACCAGCTCCATGAGCACCACCAGCACCAGCACCAGCACCAGCAGGCGTTACGACCACCCGTAAGGCCCTCATTGCGCGAGGTTTCACCTGCCGTACATGGGGGCTCCGGCTTGCAGCCACCGCCCCCGCCACAGCCGCCGCCGCCGCCGCCACCGACGCAATCGCAGCTCGCCACCCGTCAGCCCCGCTCATTATTCCTTGGTGCCCAACACCAACCGCCACAACAGCTACAACTGAAGCAGCAACTGTCGCAGTACAACCAACAACAGCACCAACAACTGCCGTACCGACAGTTGGTACACCAGCAACGACAGTCCAACCAACAACAACATCAGCAGCAGCAGCAGCAGCAGGTCAGCCGCGGACCGTCACCGTCACCATTACCAGCATCTCGCCCTCCCTCCGTAAAACCATCGACAGGAAGGCCGCCGCTGTCCGCGTTTCAGATGGCACCGGGGCTTTTGGCGGAAGGTGCGTGGAGGATGTGAGGGTGGGTGGGTGGCCCATGATCTAGCCAAACCATCCGTCAGGTCAAACTGGCCGTGCAGCGCCATAGCGATTCTTTTTCTTGACGCAAAGTGCGATGGGCGAGTGAGCCACCACTGGGGCTGTTTGACAACAGGGCTTCAGAAACCGCTTCACCGCCTGTGAGCTCCCCCCAGATTTTACGTGGTTTTGCAGTTCCCCCCGCTTTCCTCCGTTTAATAATAAACCACCTGTGCCCTCCACCCTGCTAGCCGGACGACTACGTCACGGCATTTTATAGTGTCAGGTTTTTACCGCACGCACATATGCTTTGTCGATGCGACAGTCGTATGACACGACAGCTAATGGACCCGGAATATCGTAATAACACAGTGCTGCATACTTTTGTATGTGCGCCATGCATGAAGGGTCATCACGGCTGACTGCTGGCTCTGTACGACAGTCGTCATCATCGTCGTACTGGCGAGGATCCCAACAGATGCAATGGCTGGAGGAGCTAGTGGCAGATGAACCGTCGCCGGAAGGGATGGAAGCTGCTAGCCTTAGCCGGCAGCAGCAGCAGCAGCTACAGCTACAGCAGCAGCAGCAGCAGCAGCAGGGCCCATATAAGCGACATGCCTACCTAGACGCAACCGTCACAACGGCCAACAGCGGCACCGATGGCATCGGCGACGGTAGAGGGGTAAGTACGACATGGCTGGACGAGCAGCGACAGCAGGCCGTGGCGGAACCGGCATGTTGGGTGGCATCTGTCAGCGGTCGCGGCGCTGGCGGCCCCACTGGCGGCGGCGGTGGCGGCGGTGTCGGCGGTGGCGGAAGTTCCGCAGCTCGTACGACCAGCTGGTCGCACCAGGCAGGTCGGCACGATCGCGGGCTAGAGCTATCGGCTTCGCGATCAGCAGTTGATGCCTGGTTGGAGCAGCAGCAGTAGCAGCAGCAGTGCCAATTGCAGCAGTAGCGGTGCCAACATGATGCATATTGCGATGGCAGCGTTGGCACTTTATCTAGCATTGGTATGAATTGGCGACAGAAAAACGTTGTAATGTTGGCACAGGCAGCGGCCTTTGCAGTAGCAGTTACAGCGACGTTAGTACTATCAGCAGTAGCAGTAGCAGCGGCGTTAGCACTATTAGCAGTTGCAGTAGCAGAAGCAGTGGCAGCATTTGTAAAATTAGGTGCTCCAGCTCGCAAATAGTACTTATATGCCGTTAAGATGTACATTGGATATCCAGCAGTAGAAGCTCGTCAACATTCACAATCATAATCGCGGCGGTGTGTATGAGGTGGTACACTGCTCCCAATTTGGTTCAGGCGGCGGTGCAAGAGCGGGACACACACACACACCCAAACGCCCCCCCACACTGTTATATCACGTCTTATCGCAGGAAAAGAACCGATCGGCGGATCCCGGCTAGATCCCGTGATACCCAGGATACTACACACACCAACACACACCACCCCAGACCCCACCATACACCCCACCACACAACCCCACCACCCCACCACACACACCGTCGCGCGGTCGCCGGTATCTCTCAGCAATTTCGCTCCGTTTTCTGGCACGTATGTCTAGCTGGCAGGCAGGTCGTCGATACGCACAGATATACATACATACATAGGAACAGCGATCTGCTTGCGTTTTCTTTGTTTGCCTGTTGGCTAGAAGCTAAAACGCTCAAGGAATGACCCTACTTCGTAAAGGTCCTTGTATTTTCTTCATGAAACTTTTCACTCGAACCCCCCGTGCGAGTCTTATGTATGCATCATCTCTGCTTAAGCTTCATATGAATCTTAGGAGCCCACTTCACATGTCGATACGAACTTGTTGATGTTGTTACAGGGTGGTTAAGCTTCACCAGTGGCCTCCTTCCCGAGGCAATTCCCTGCTCTCCCCTGCTAGAGGGGCACCCTAAGCCATTCACCCCATCCGACTTCAGAGTGTTTGGCAACTCACCACCAGCATCCAACCAAATCTAGCGGATCAACGGCGCGTCAACTTAGTTCCTGGTCAGCTCGCGAGTACGAACTGCTTGACAAACATGAAGAAGGATACAAAATCCCTAACAGATTTTCAGTGGGTTGCTTACCAAGATAAGCATGTTGTAGAGCTTTAGCCAATCAAAAGGGAGCTGTTACACTCAGCAAGGCGCCACGCACCCCCTTACCCGCAGGTCCCAGTACTGCCTGGTACTGCTATCACCATCCCCTAACTTTTACATCGGCTAATTCTCCAAGAGTTTTGTAAAACCCAACCATTCGCTGGTTTTGTATGAATGAGTGTCGGTCACTGTCCAGCAGGAGGTCATCCGAGATGCGTCCATGAAGTCAATGGCGCCCCTGTTCGAGCCACAGCAGTTGCTCCTCCTGTGAGCTAAGATGGGCTTGCAACATGTTGCATGTCAAATTGCATTCCTAAACTACCTGGTGGCTGGTAATGTTAAGGACGCAGCAGCTGAAGCTGATAAAGCTGATAACGCCTTCAACAAAAATCCACACGGATCGCGGATGGATGCCTTCTTGTTTTTCTTCTGACAGGATAGCAGCCAACAGGAGCAAATTAAGTTGAAATTTCTTATCCTCGGCAGCTGTTGTTTACATCGTGATTTTCCATGACCTACAACAACCGCCCGGGCAGCGATGCCGCCAGAGCAACAAACTTAGCTATCAACCAAAGTCAATCCAGTAGCGGATCCGCTGTTAAGGACGTCGCCGCTAAAGCATCCGCGTGCTATCTTGGACAGCTGAACAGCTTCCCTGAACCCCACCACCGATGATCGGCCCCTCCCATGTTTGATGTCCCGGCTCTGACCGGCTCGACCCTACACTTACCTCTAATGCTGTGTGTGTAGTTGTTAAAGTGGGCTCCAGGCTCGCGAAGATCCAGAGGGCTAGCTGGCCGTGCACTGCACTAGACTCTTAACATAAAACTAGACCCATGCTGCCTGGAAAACCCCTTGCCTATTTTTCATGGCCGGCCTCTGTAACAACTACACACACACGCACTTCCACCTACTGTTTTAACGAACAACCGCACATACTTTCAGGCTCATAAACACCGACAGAGAGCTTTGAAGTACAGCAGGTCATGATGTCTGATTCAGCCGGTTACTGTTAGTTGTCCTTCCGAAAGCATTATTTTGAGCTGACTTGACATTTCCAAAGCTTCTTATCAACCAAACGAAAGGGAGAGTAAAGGACGGAGAAGAGTCATGAAAGGGAAGCGGCGGAGCTATTTCCCCGCATTCCGGCCTGTTCCGGCAGTGCGCCATCCTATCTATATCTATATATTTTCATAACTGACCAAATTATTTTGACTTGGAAACCGCCGAGATCTGGAAACCGATGACCTACGAAAATTTCGAAACCGATGACATATGAAAATTTGGAAACCGACGAGTTGTTCGTAATTGTACTTGACCCGGCCGCGGCCGGGTCACCGCGGTAACCTCGATGGTCTCGATTTCCTCAGCTGAGTCATGGAACGACAAACAACGGTTATTAATAAGAGGGTGTTCGCGCAACTTTTTTTCCCGCTTCGTAGATTGGGAAGAGTAGCACCACACCTTCACGCCCCTATTACCCTAAGCATCCCTGTCCCGAACTGCCTCGAACTCAACAGCGCATCAGCCGTGAAAAAATCTTGTACGAGTCGAAATCCTTTCCTATAGGACATTGCTTGTTTTGGAGCTATGCCCAACCCCCACGAACGTGCATGCATTTGGACATTCATTCCGGCCCGGGAATGAATCCAACCATATGCCATCAGGGTTCCCATGCCGTTGCTTCAGCTGCTGAAGCAACGGCTGCACGCAGCCCACAGCAGCTGATGACCGTATAGCAACAAACCCTAAGCTATGTGTTCCGATCGTTCGTGAGTAGCGAGAGCCACTAAGTGCGAGGGTACATCGCGTTGACATTCCGAGGGCGATTGTAAAACCTTTTGTCAGTTCGTATGGCGTAGTACAGTGCGGTAGTGGTGGATGGTGCTATAAGGTGATAAATCGTAGAATTGACAATGTGATAAAGCGGCAAAGAAGCGTCCCACTCTGTAATTACAAATATATTACAAATTATCCGTCGACTTAAGACGACGGCGACACAGTCTTACAACGACCAGATCCCGATGTTTAGTACTACTATTTCTCAGCGCCACCACACCTCCATTCAGAAGAGGTCGGAGCATCACCAGCAGGCAGCAGCTCCAGCAGTTGCAGGTTGGTCGTGAAGGCGCGCACCCGATGAGATTTCTCTGCCTTGCATGAAGCACGTTAGCGCGATGATGTGTGCTAAGCTATGGCTGCAATAACAAGTAGACCACAGTGTTTGCCTACGACAAGATTGGTTCCGCTGCTGGTTGAAGCTGCTCCGGGTGCAATTGCCGGAAAAACCGCTGCCGTACGGTCGATCCTTGGGAAGGATGGCAGGACCCTCCCAGGAATAAAACCTTATCATTCTCTTAGCCCTGACCCCCATGGCCATATAAAATTGAGAACAAGTTGCGTGTACACCCTTTTATTTTGGCGGTCCTGATAGTAAACCTATCAGGTTTACTATCAGGATATAAATATATATAAAATCAGGACCGCCAAAATAAAAGGGTGTACATGTAAAAGGGTATACATAAGCGTTTTAGAGCGTGCCAAAAAACGTAGGTTGTGGTCGTGCGCGCACTGCTGACAGCCTTGGGTGTCTGCTGCCGCGCTGCAACTGGTCGTCCATGCTGCCCCGCTGATCATGAGAAGGTGCAGCAGAGGGGTGCAAAGATTAGGGATTGGGTTCGGGTACCGGTCAGGCAGAAATTAGGATTAGGAAAGAGGGGCAGGATTAGGATACAAAGTTGAGGGCAGGTTTAGGATGAGGACCCTAGTGTAGGATTAGGATTGGGCCCCCCCCCGGATTGGGATTGGGACCCGGCCACAGGATTAGGATTAGAACCCCGACCCTAGGATATGGATTAGACCACCACTCTGGATTAGGGATTAGAAGTGGTCCACCCCTGTTAAGATTAGAGGATTGCTGACCGGTACCCACCCCCTGGATTAGAGGATTAGGACCACTTTGCACCCCTCTGGGTGCAGTGCACGGCCAGCTGGCTCGCTGGCTCTACTCTTCGTGAGTCTAGAGCCACTGTAACAACCACATATACACACACATAACTACACACACAAACACCACTACTTATGGACTTTGCACCCGCGGCTGCTGGTCACCCAAACCATGGCGGACAACTCAAGCATCAAATAGAGCGAAGGCGCTTCATTTTAAGGAATTGAGCATGCAATACTTCTGTGTCCTTAAAAATGGGATGGGTTTGCATTTCATTGTACTCACCGACGTTACAAGGTTAAAAACGCCGATCGCAACCAAAACAGCCATACCGTAGTGCTACTTATAGTTCGTGCTACAATAATTCGGGAGGCACCACGAATATGTAGCACGTACAATTTCTAAGGTATCCCCAGGGACCGCAGCCCCGAAATATCGTACCCTCCGAAGCCGGTCGATCAAACTTTGCAAAAACTAGGATTTCAAGGCGGAAATCAGCTCTTAAATACATAGAATATAGTCATAAGCGTAGGACATGAACAACGCTGGAAAACGTGCAAGACAGGCAACCCTGCTTCAATGCGGGATGAAACCGCTAGCACCAAACGCTCCGGTGAGCGACCGAGCTGGATTTGCACCAGGCTTGATGATGCTGTTGTCGAGGCCCAGCGTGAGCGAATGGAGCACGAGGAGGTTGCTAGGCGCGAGCGCAATGCGGTTGGTTATTAGGTCGTTGCCACTGGTACTGAACTGTACGATCGGTCCAGAATTTGCTAGGGCGTTTCCAAAGTGCGAAAATGGTGAGAGACCATGAGCCTAAGGGTTCCCGGTGGAGGGAGACTGACTGGAAGCTGCAGTTTGAAAAGCCCCGAAACGTTGGAAGGGGCCCCGAAATTTGTATCATGCCCGCAAAATCTGGACCGGCCTTCCCCGAAATTCAAAGAGCACGTACAAACTTCAGAAAGTTTTTCGACCCCTCCCCGAACAAAGCAATCACGAACTATAAGTAGCACTACGGTATGCATGATACGAAGAAAGGTAACGCGAAAAGCTGCATCAGGTAGCTCCTAGGAAGTATTTGCGGATTACGGTTTGATCCTTATTATTTGAAAAAGCCCCAAACAATGAGGAAATATTGAATAAAGCTGATTTAGGAGATATAGTTATCCTCCAAACTGATGGCGAAGATTTCGCACTTCCAAAACTGGCACCTCGACCCTTCTCCAGACAAGTCGCCGGACTATAGCTATTATGAAATGGAAGGTTGGTGGGTGGAATCCAAGACTCCCAATCTTGCAAGAACCACAGCTTGTTTTACGTGACGACGTACTGCATCAGTGCTTACCTCTTACACACCGGCATCATCCCAGCTGGGCCTGCAGGCGAGACTGCGTCCCGGCAAGCGCCCTTCAACAAACCCTTTTTATGTGACCTGATAGATTAACGACTGTGGCGGCCGTAGGGGAAATGGTGTTCTCTAACTTAATATATCTTGCTGGAAAGCGGATGCAGGGCATTTCAGGGATTCGATGCGGGACGATGTAAATGAACAAGTAACTGTTCAAACATTTTGCAATAGTCGCATTGTCACTGATAGAATATGAAATAGCAAGTTGAACGCGCCAGGCCGTAGTGTTTGCCGTTGCCGAAGGCCGCGTCGGAACGCGAAAGCTGTCACGTGCACGGCGCACGTGGAACATGCGGGAGGGTCCTCGCAGCTCGCATGAAGCTCCAGCGTTTTTACTTTACAACCAAACGAATTGCGTTTTTTATCAGCATCAGCAATAATTAGGACGTCCAATCGAGCTCTTGAAAAGCGCATTAATAAAGTACGTGCTTTTCATCTTGTTACATTTTGGTCAAAGAAGTTAACCTCATCAGTGCGTGGGATACGTTTTTTGTTACACTCCAATCTTTAAGCGTATTTGGGCTAAAAACCGTCGTCTTCCTCCCATTCCGGATATTACCGTAGGTTTGAGACCCTTCGCGTGATATATGAAAAATCAGGGCAGACCACGCTGTACATTTCATTTCATAATCGCGATATTTTTTTTCATGAGAAATCTTGGCACGTAAGCACGCGACCGAAAGCCGTACGCATTACATCCTAAACCCTAGTTACGCAAGAGCCCTCTACCAATACTGCACGGTGGCAGCTGCCCCAGCTAGATGCAGTCACGCGCTGCCCAGCTCATATCCGTACGTTTCCCTGAGCCTTTAATGCTGTCAACCACAGGCCTGAGCCCAGGCCTGTAGCATTCGAAGGATCCACATGTGTGAACCCAGCTCTTGTCCTTTTACGACGATGATACGACCTACAGCGCAGTAGAGCTTCCATTTTGACTGCACCTCAGAAACGGGTTGGGGCGCCTCTTTAGTTTCTTTACCAGTCGCTCTCCCGCGACTCACTCTGGTGTGTCCGTTAGTAAGGCATAGGAAGACGGTTAGCTGACGGGGTACGAACAAGAGCTTCGAAAGGCAGAAATGCCCCTGATACCCTACTAGGCCCGGGAGATGCTTCAAGTACAGGCAAGGACGTGTTATGTAGAAGGGGCGCGGCGCAGAGCTTCAGCCTGGAGGTGGAGGTGGTTAGGTTGCGTGGTTCAGTTCTGTAGCGGGGCCCGCCAGCAGCACTATTTTCCAACCTGGCCTGCAAGCGGGACAGCTACCTAATACAGCAGCTGCTGCATTATCAATACAGACAACAGCAACAGTAACAAAAGCACAATGAGCAGGAAGGGTTTTGGGATTCGACGAGCAAGATGCCAGGCCTTAGGCAAATCCTGGAGTGCAATTGGGTGCGATATGATTTTAGTTCCCGTTCCCTTGTTTAAAGATACATCTCCGAAACTTTCAGGTCAGAGACGTCCGCGAACATACCACTCCTACAGTACGATTTGTGCTTTGTTAAAACCATGAAAGCAATAAAGACAGGAATGGCCTCATTCATATATCAAGCAGCTTGGCCTTTATCCAGATATAGCTTGTAACCGGTAAAGATTTCCCGTAAAGGAGCGGACGCATTAAGCTTTCACCATCGTTATTGTTTATGAGTACATCAAAGAGAGAGGTGAAAGATGTAACAGTACCTCGTGCAACAGGTGTGATGCGCACGCAGCACCGAGGTGGGCTGGCTTGGACGTATTGGCGAAGTCACAGCTGTGGATGCCATGTCAATCTCTTATAAAACAATTTATGTGAACGAGTTGGCTTTGATTGCGACGTCGAAACGTTGAATTTTCGTTATCCTGGCGGCCAACCATCGGGATACGTCGTGCGGTACTCAATCACCCAAAAAAAGGGACCGGACGACATGTTAAGAAAGTTTCCCGTCGATTTCATTAGGATAGATCTATGATCATTAGGTCGACTACACGATTATATTTTACTTTTGAATTGCTGAGCCCTGGCCGCCGCTACTACAACCCTCCTGTTCATCGTAACTCCTACGTCTTTCAGACCACTAATAACAGAAAGTGTTTCGCTGAGCTGCCCTGTGAACTTGGCTAGCTGCTGGAGTGCTTGATTGTCATCTTGCGTGCGACATTGTCGGACTTGCTACATAGGTACTCATTCCCTTCATGGTTCGAATGGACGACTCTGCAATAGGATTGAGACAGAAAGGTTCCGGATTATTCGTTTAGGAAGGCTTACGGAAGCTCTGTAGGTGCTGAGCTCTTACCATCACAATACGTATTCGGGAAGGAGACCGGTGAAATGGAGGCTTCCCGGGCGCCACAAGGCGCATGGCCATATAACTTGCGTCACTGTTCCGACTCGGATGCCTCAGGGCAACGTTTTGGTGGCCCTTGCAACTCGAATGTGGCCTTTACGGCCATTCCGCGACCGAATGCGGAGCCCTGGCTTTCTACCTCCAATGCGCCGAATCTCAACTCAAATTTATTTCCATTACAAATTAGAGTGGCACCATCATTTCATCGCCTCGGTACCTGTGACGACCTTCGTCCTAATGTGTCCTCTGTCCTCCGGCAGTCATCATCCTTGCCAGAGCCAGGCGAAAGGGATGGTCCTTTCGCCGGCGGCCAAATCCAGCCATTTCGGGACAACTGCAATTATCTGGCCGAATCAGCCTGCACCCGCCATTCCGCCGTGCACGGAATCATGCCACCACAGCTCTTAGGAACCAAGTCGATGCCCCCCTCCGCCACAGCCTGCAGCGTCCACTCCTACACGGCCATGCTACAGCACGTCGCCAGCTGTCCTGCGCGAAGTCTTCCTCCCGCCTCTGCCCCTCCGACGCCGCCCGCCGCTGCCGGGGGTGCCGTACTCAGCAGGCTCACCGTACAGCGGTGCGCCTCCGAAGGGCTGCTTACACACGCGCCATCGCAGAGCCTGCCGTGCAGCGGCGGCGTCGGCGGCGCTGGCGTGCCCGGGACACCGTATCCCCCATCTGACATCCTACCACAGTACGGCAGCTGGAAGCCGGTGCCGTCCGACACAGACATGGAGAGGGTGTGGGGCTCCGGAATCACCAACTGCCATCACAACCACCTCAACCTCAGCCACCAACCACAATCGACTCCCCTGCCACCGCCGCCACATCCTTCTGGACGAGGTCCGCAGTTCGCCTCAGATGGTGCTGTGACATGCGCTGAAAAACCGTCATTCCCGTCGCCACTGAAAAGGGTGAGCTTTGCGGATCGATCGTGTGCCGGGGCTCCTGGACAACAACTTTGCCGCCATTGCATTATACTCGACCGGAACGATGGCTCGGTGGGTCGGTCACACATCATTTTAGATAGGTTCCCCTGAGTGACTCCCCCGTTGGGCGGCTCCACATCTCGCAAAAGTCAGTCAGATTCCTGAACACATAATATTCCTGAACATATGTATTCCTGAACAGTACATATATATTCCATACCATCCCTGTCGCTCTACGCGATGCCGTTGCCTCTGCTGCCGCAGCTGACCTTGCCAACGGAGTCCCAGCTCCGAGGTAATTGCTCACCGACGTCCGGTGGCCGCAGCCCTATTGCCATCCAACGCAATCCCACCAAGCATATTGGACCAGCCTCGAGACCTCACTCGCCATTCGGCTCGTCGCCCGGCTCATCGCCCTTCTCAAGCACCTTCGCCGTCGCCACCTCCACGGCCGTTCCCTCCCGCTTGCAAATCGCGACGGCGGCCCGTAGCCCGGTCCGTAGCGGCAGTGGCGGCGGCGCCGCCGCCGCCACCGCGGCCGCGGCTTTCGGCGGTAGTGGCGCCGAAACCGCCACCACAAGCGGAATGCCACTGGATCGCCAGCGGCTGGTTCTAAGTTCCGTCAGTAACCTGGCGCAGCTTCGGGATACGGTAGCTGAGGATGGCAGTTTGGCACCAAGAAATAAGCAGGTGGGCGAGCGGTCGTATATTGTTCGTACCTACTGTTCGTACAGGTTGATCTTGTTCCATGTCGAGTCATCTTTGTTTCATGGTATTTGCTTGTGAACGTTTTCTTGCTCTTGAGAGCGGCGCACTGAGGGGGAGAGAGAGAGAAAAAGTGTGTGTGTTACACTTTCAGTTGTGGTCTGACGCGTCTGGCCCCAAAAGTAGTGAATGTGAAAATTTGCGAGAGCTCAGCAAACAGCTTCCTGTGCCGGTGTGCTAGTTGCTTACAACACACAACGCGCTCACAACAACATATGCGACATCATGAGGGTGTGGCGCCGGGTGAGGATGTTGTCGTCCTTCCCCGCTCGCCTTGGCTCGACACGCCTGAGCGGGACGTGCCTGCTGGTCACCCAGACCTTGAAGAGAAAACGAGCCACAGCTTTAAGGGGTTCCAAAGGTGAATCACAATTTGAAAGGAAATAGGGGAGACGCAAACTACCCGGAAGCACAAGGAAAAGCGGAAGGGGAGATGAAGGGAAGAAATAAGAACAGATTCCAGACGGGGGGAGAGAGAGGTTGGAGGGGGGAAAAGGAAGGGGGATTGTTTCGTATTTGGTTTGGGCGTCAGCCGTCGATTCTTGAAGTGTGCAACCATACGGGATCCTCCCGCCCTTCTCCTGCCCCTCGTCGTCGTTGGTCCCTCACCCCAACCCACCCACCCACCCACCCACCCATAGTTTTCTGCGCCACTGTGTTGTGTGTTCCGGCCCCCGGTCAGGGTCCCTCCGCGGTGCTAGTCGTCCTTTCTCGACGCCGGTCACCCACAGCAGCGAAACACTCCCCGTCAATTGTAAACTAACGGGATGTGTGGATATAAGAGAATCGTATCCCCTCTCGCAACGCGCATGTGCCACAGGCCCTTCTGAAAATGATTGAGGATGCTTTACAGGAGCAACAACAAGAACAAGAACAACAACAGCAACACCCCCAACAACAACAGCAACAGCAGCGACAGCCGCCTCATCTTCGGACGCCAGCGCAACCTCAGCCAGGAACCCTGCCATACAGGACATCGCATCAGGTGCAGCAGCCCATGCAGGTTCACCAGACAACTGGGCCATGTGCTCCTCCTCCTCCTCCTCCCGGCATCATCCCAGCTGTTGCCTGCTCAAGCTGCCATGCACAACACAATTCGCCGGTCGGCAACTGGTCGGCAGCTGCGGTTCCTTCCCATCATTACCCCGGTTCGATGGTAAAGTCAGCGACAGGCCCAGGCACTGGCGGCGCTCCGCAAGCCGAATCAGTTGGCTCCTGTCCAGGAGCCGGCGGCGCTTCTGCGCCGCAGCCAGTAGCTCCATTCCGCGTAGCGGCGGCCTTCAGGGCCGTTGGTAAAGGCGGCGGCGGCGGCGGCGGCGCCGACGTTGCAGATGCACCGAATATGGTGTCCGTCACGTCTAGTAGTAACTACGACAGCGGTGGAACCCTCTACGGCGGCGCTCTCCACATCGCCAGCATTTGCACCGCCATTAACGACCGCACCAGCGGCGGCGGCGGCGGCGGCGGCGGCGGCGGCAGTCCCCAGGCGGCGTACGGTAGAGTGGCCAGCAACGTCACCGGCGGCTGCTGTGTCTGCGGTACGCAAGCCACAACCAGCGATGGCAGTAGCCACCACAGTTGCAGTAGCACGGGCATGTCGGGCGGCGCACAACACACAGAGCGCTCAGCCCACATTCAAGAGTCTCATGCAGGAGCTGCCTGCGGTTTCGGAGCAGCGCCTTCCTTGGAGGGACCTGGCGGCTTCGGAGCTGCCCCACGGCCGGCGGCGGCGGCAGTGGCGGGGGCGCCGCCGCTGCCCAGCATTCTGACATCCTCACTTCGAAACTTACAACAAGTGCTTGACGGTGGCGCGTTAGTGTACGACGCGCCGCCAGAGTATACGTACGGCATGCCTGTGGCACCGTACGTGGTGCCGCAGGTATGCACTGGCAGGACAGCGGAATGGCGAGGGCAGGGGAACGGCGGCGCCACTGTGAGTGCGGCCGCCGCTGCCGCCTCCACTGCCCCGCTGGCAGCTCGCACTGGCAGTGAGCTACAGCCGCAGCTGCCACTGCCGTATACACTGCAGGAGCAGCCGGCGCTGCAACAACAGCAGCAGCAGCAGCGCGGTCTGCTTTACACCACCTGTGGCTCCTTCCAAGCTGCGCCCGCTCACCCAGCCGGGCTTGCAGCTGGGCCACCTTCACCGTCGAGTTCCTTCTCCCCGGGTCATGTGGCGGCGTGCGCCGTCAACACGCCCTCACCATCCGCCCCAGCGCCGGCCGTCATCCCAGGCCCGGCCACCAACGCGTCCGTGCCCTCACCACCTCCTTGCAGTCCCATGTCTGTCGGTCCACCTCCTCCTCCACCTCCTCCACCTCTTCCACCCTACGCTTCCTCAGCTTCCTGGTATGCCAAAGACATGCAGCAGCAGCAACAACATCAACAACAGCAGTCGTGCAATCTGTGCTACTCACAGCAACTGCAGTATCTTTCGGGTCCACAGTTACCGCAGCTGCACAACCACCACAACCACCATCAACAGCATTATCTGACGTCACCACCGCCACCATCCTCATCATCCTCATCATCGCCGCCACAGCATCAACAGCACCAACATCAACAGCACCAACATCAACAGCACCAACATCAACAGCACCAACATCAACAGCACCAACATCAACAGCACCAACATCAACAGCACCAACATCAACAGCACCAACATCAACAGCACCAACATCAACAGCACCAACATCAACAGCACCAACATCAACAGCACCAACATCAACAGCACCCCCAACAGCACCATCAACAAGAGCAGCAGCAGCAGCAGCAACAGACGCAGCTACAGGCAGCACACCTCCCAGCAGGTACATGGCCGGCATTGTTCTGCGCTCCTATGGAGCTTACATCTGCAGCTGAAGGAGGCGGCAGCGGCAGCTTCGAACCGTGTGGCGGCCCGGTGGCGACGATGGCACCTGTTTCCGCCGCCGCAGCAACCGCCGCCATGGACTCTGTGGACGCAGTCGGTGAAGAGGCGGAGGATCCCTTGTTGCCTGATGATGTGCTCAGCAACTTTTTGGAGGAAAGTTTGGGAATGTTGCCGTGCCCTGACTTTGGGACGCTGCCTTGCCCCGACCTCGATCTGGTGACCTGCGCAGGCGAGACCTTATCCTGACTGCTAAGCTGTGTGTCTGTGTGCACCAAGCTGGGCTGTTGTTAGGACAGGAGCTGTGGGGAACGGTCGACCTGGGGCGGTATCACTAGTTCCTGCAGCCGAGGGCGCTGAGATAGATATCCTCGTGCTGCCGCAGTCGTCGCCCTAAGGGCCACATCTGCAAGAGGACTCTGCGGCACGGAATGTGAAATTCGCTGATACCGTTTATTATGACGGAGGCCCTTTCGTTTAATTGGGGCGGAGATAGAGCATCGCCATGAGAGGAAAGCGCGTTGCGGCATCTTCCCTTCTCGAGTCGCGATAACACGGCCTTTTCTCAAAAGGCAGCAGTGATTCCACAGCTGTAAAAGTTCAAAGTCGAAAGGGGGGGAGCAGGTTGGCAGCTGCGGCAGACCAACTGCGTGGGTCTCGGAGCGGGAAATGAAGAGGTAGGGAGTACGACAAGCACGGCAGCTCGGGGTCTTTGTAGTGGTTTGATTTTATGGAGTAAATTTACTCGAAGGCAGTCAGTGTCTTGGAGTGATACTCAGTGGCAGACGTTGCCCCTGCTGCTGCTGTTGCAGCTGCAGTTTGCTGTTGCAGGCTATGGCTGTTGTTGCTATTGCAAATCTGTGGCGGTTTTAACCTTTGACTCGACCACACATGCTGTTGTCAATGTACGTGTTTTTAACCAATCGATGATGTTATCGGGGCCCTGGGGGGATCGTGCCGTTCAATGTGCATCTATCTGTCCGCATGAAATGTATGTGTGCGTTCTTGCGTATCAAATTCGCCATTTGCGCATGTTAAATCTGTGTCTGTCTGTATGTCTATATGTCTGTATGTATTAATGTGCGACTGTCCGTGTACGTCTAATCGTGAGCATCTACAGCGCTATCAATGCTGTACATTATTATGGAATGTCTGCGTTTTAGGAAGTAAGGCATAACTCTTCTCTGTACTTATATGGGTGTTTATATGGCGCAAGAGTAGTAATGCGATGTATCGCGTGTCATACTCGCAACGATGTGCGGACGAATGGTTGCAAGCTAGGTGATGATGAAGGGTTGCAGCATGGGGTTCATAACCAGATTTCACAGTCACACATACCCTCTTCGCGTCTCTAGGTAAAGCATGTTGCGGGAGTCACATGCGCTTAATTCTTCATCAACCTTTTCACTTCGCACGCGATATAAAGTTTGTCTTTCTCACACACGCAACAAACACTACTTGTTCTGGCGATGCATGCATGCCTACATTTGAATGGGGTGGGGCATTTGAATGGTCAAACTCTTTTTCTCAGCTGCAAAATACCTCTATAAGCGACCAGAGGACTTCGTAATTTCCTTCCTTGGCTATTAGATGTACCGTATGCTGTGGTCGTGCGGTGGCTGCACGTAAAGTTGGGCTTCTTCCTGATGAATTGGTTGCCGCAGACTTGGGCAGGTGGGCTGATGATGGTGGGTGATGGTAGTGGCTATTCCTTTTTTATTAGGCGTTTAAGTGTTGGCGTTGGTGGTGACGTGGGTGGTGTGACGTGGGCGGTGACGTGGCGCCGTGAGTAGGTGACGACGACGGTGATGCCGTCTGGGTACCACCTCTGCGGGCGCCTGTGCACAGCAGCGTCCTGCAGGAGACTCGTCCATGCTCGCAGATTGCCGAGCAACGAAGGGTTACTAAATAACAGGCGCGCTCTTCCCGTGCAAACATGGCGGGAATCATAATGGCGGGAAACTAGCTTTTTTGAAAGGAGCAGTTGTGTCGCAGTGGTTCGTTCCTCTTTAAGGCGGATTCAAAAGTATTTGCGTGCGTTGCCGCTGTCTTGTTGAAGCTGTGGACGGTCCTGCTGGCACTGGATCGAGGACCACAGACGCGAAGCCGCAACGTTCTTCGTCGCTTATCTATTTTGTTCGGCTATTCCCTGATTGGATGTCTGTGTCTTCTACGTGCAGTTCTTTGCTTTCAACCGGGGTGCGATTCAGGGGACCTGGAGGCTGCTTCCGAAAGCCATAGCGTTTGTACCTGGTTTATCCTTTATATTTTTCTCGTGTTTTTGTTCTGTTGTTTAATATACAAAGGATAGGCAGGCGGCTGGCAGAAGTTAAGGCCTGACTTCTGCTCCCAGTCGATCCAGTCGACCCGGGTTCAAATCCGCCTGCCAGCTCCTCGGGTATTTGAGGAGTGATGAAATGGGAGGTGGCCCCCCATCATATGGACGGTGTAGGACGTGATAATATCAACTTGCGAGCTGACCAGGAACTAAGTTGATGCGCCGTTGATCCGCTAGATTTGGTTGGATGCTGGTGGTGAGTTGCCGAACCCAACGAATACATTCTGAAGTCGGATGGGGTGACGGATTAGGGTGCCCCTCTAGCAGGGGAGAGCAGGGACTGCCCCGGGAAAGGGGGCCGCTGGCGAAGTTAACCACCCTGTAATAACATACATACAAAGGATGAATTACTGGTACGTAGGTGTCTTGCGCGCATCTTGGGTGTCCGGTCATGCATGGTGCTTGCCGATATTGCTGGCGACGACGCTCCGCGGCGTTCACTACTTTTTTCCATCCTCCACCTCTTCCCCCTCATAAGTCATAACTTACCTCCCCCCTCCTCTTGTCCTCTCCTTCTCAACAACCTCCTTCGACATGCATCCCACCCCCACAGCGACAATATTTCTAGTCCTAGTCTCTTGTCTTCCTGCGATAGTAAAACAATTGCGTGTTTGGACACGACAGACTGCAGCCTTTTGCGCATAATGCGTACGTCCAATTATACTGTTAAAGGCTCATGCCTCGGACCGCATCCTCTCGCCCCTTTGCGCTGTGCCACATCCTCCCAGTCCGCTTCTGCCCTTAGTTTTCTATGTTTCCAATACGACAGCTGACTAGGACAGAGTGCCTTGGCTTCTATTACTCGGAATGATCTGCCGATAGTAATTAGCGCTAACCAAGATTGCTCAACACAACCACGGTGGCTGTCCATGGCGGTTTATTACGTTTTTGTTGTTCTTGGGAACGTGTTGACATTCTCATCGCGATATCTTCATTCATCAGCATAGGCTGAGGTGTGCACATCAAATCTGTCTCTCGGTTCTGAATTGCTTAATGGCGTTGGTGTACCTGGTGGGGGAGAGAGATAGGGCGCACCAGAGGCTTACTCAATGCGATATCGTCCCAGGATGGATGAGACGGGTCGTCCGTGTGAGTTGCCGCCAATCAGTGGAGGTGCTTTGATGCACGTGGGCTATGTGTTTTTTGTAGTACGGGAGTCATCGTTTGAAGTGCCGTACATGAAGCCCACTTCAACCCCAGGCGTTCGCTTATTATAATAGCCTGTATAGCTGACGATTTGTTGAACGGTATTATATATGACCTTCGTGAACCTGTCATCACAGGTCCCTCTTTTTTGCGCTTTGCGCGCGAAGGCATATACGACGCGTACAGCATTCTTGAACTCATGGTACGACATAGCATTTGTGGGGCAACGCGTTCGATCTGCTAACGCATGTGTGCTTGATTATCGAGCCGCAAGCTGTTGCGAATGCTCGCCTGGTTAAATGTGCTTTAGTTTCAGAACATCGCCTGTTTTGCTGATGCACAAGCAGCAGTAGCAGCTGTCCTTGCCGCATTGTCGTGCTGTACGGCAACGAGTAACAGGTTGTTTTGATCAACCGTAAAGCTTTGTTTGGAGGCTTTTGGGGGGTTTATCTTTTTGGGGCTCGGTTTTGAAGCTGCATGTAACCACGACCAAAAAGGTGTCAGATGAGGGCCCAGTAATAACCCATCACGTACACAATCGGTGGCTCAATCCGCTGGTTTCATGCTCCTCGGTCTGCCGCTGTCACCGTTTCGTCGAGAAAATACGCCGTTTTCTTTCATATATGCAATGCCGCTACCCTTCTGTATTGGAGATTTGGAGATTACCAAACCCATGTATACTTTCGGAAAAGTGTTTGATGGTCTAATATGTTGTCTAACACTTGTGCTGCTCATGCGATGCCACCTGTGACCCGGAGGACAAGCTAACGGCCGTAAAGTACGAACGATCGTACTACTTGAAATACGTTGGGATCTGGGGTTATTAGTTGTTGTCGTACGGGAGCGGTAGCAGTCGACGTGTGCGACCCCAGGGCCTACCCATACCTGCCCATACCACTTCACAAGGAAGGAAAAGAAGGAAGGAAGGAAGGAAGGGAGAGCTCGCCTCTCATAAGTCCCTTGTTTGGCGTTTCGTGGTTGAGGCTGTGTGTCGATGCTGTGTGTTGATGCTGTGACTGTCAGCGGTGGTGTGTGCGTCATGCGGCATTTCTTGTTGAGTTAAGGTTTTGGAGCTAGCCTGCTTACATGTGTGGAAAGTATTTTGGCGGTTTGTCTCATTACTCGCGACAGCAAAGATAAGAGTTTTTTTGTAAAGTGCGCGCCAGCAGCGTTCGTTATTACGTAGTAGTGCTGGGTTCTTAGCTTGAGAATGGCAGTGTCTGTACAATCCTACGACCGTTTCGGGTCATCGCTTCTCGTCCGTCAGTCCTTTCGTTGCCTGTTTGTGTCTCGGCTTTAAATGTGCGATAATAGCTTGTTCTCAAGTGTTTCTCTGTATGTTAATTTGTTCAGGAGCGAGGTGGCGTGTCATTGCATACCAACAGTACATATGGCATTTGCTTGGTGCTTTACTTGGTACTCGTGTCGTGTTTTGCAGTCCGTTGCATCTGCCGTACTTTGAAATTCACACAACCGCAAAATGCCGTCGTATGTACTGTTTGGATGTTGTTACTGGCTTGCGAGCGGCGCCTGCTGCTTGGTGACTGCGCTTGCTTTCGATTAGCGATGGTTGTCCTTTTGCACAATGTGTCGTGTTAAGTGGTCCCAAGGTTTCAAAACATAAAAACGGCTGTAACTGTCAAAACTGACCATGCACCTTCTCCTAAGTTTAAATTCAAATCTTGGAGCCAGGCGGAACCGAAACGAGGAAGATATTAGCACGGTCTTGGAATTAATTCACCAGTAACCAACACGGTGATGTATATTGATTAACACTCTGCAAAGGGACTAGGGTAGCCTCTGCTGCTTCTTCAAAGTCGAAAAGGGCTCTCGGCCCCGGTGCAGCCAGCAGTCGCCCCACAGCATTCCGCAGGGAAGAAGGCTGTACGGCACTGGGCTGCAAGTGGAGGAACGGTGTCGTGTTTGGACTACACGTTTATTATTACGGATAGCTGGGAGGGCCAGTGCAGCGACGGCAGCGTTGGAGTGATGTATGAATCAGTGGTGTATATACACTTGCTGCTAAGACCCCCATGCAAATCCATGGACAGTGCATCGCGCGCCGCCTCCACCTCAACAACACATGAACGGCTGAGTATCTATAGCCTTCTGGAAATATGCGCGAACTCAGTTCCCCATGGCCAGTGGAACTGGAGGATAGGACATGTGTGAGATGTGCGTGAGACGGAGCAGAAGGCAAGGAGGGAAGTACTGCTGGAACAGTTGGAGGCATGGGTGGTCTGCTGGAGTGGCGGAGTGTGGCGATAAGCTGAGCCATAAATAGCTATTCCAGGGAAGCCCAAGGAAAGAGCCACGAGAAAACCGTGCGGCTGCACAGTTGATTGTAGTGGCTTCTAATTGCAAGACCCAGTTCAGCGTGGCATGCGAGTTCATCGTGAGACACGACGCTCACTGACTGACTGACTGACTGACTGACTGACTGACAGACAGCAGTGAACCCCCCGGGGGGCCTCGGGCCCCCGAAAGGCGCTTCGCGCCCCCGGGGCCCCTCGCCCAAAACAATTGGATGAAGGTCACTAAGCAGTGCACACCATTACACCACTGCATTGGACAATGTGTGTGCACGCGTGTGCGTGTATATATGTGTGTATGTTAAAACAGCTGATAAATATATATCCACCAAAACCAAACAACTAGAACTGGCTAGATAGCCGACGGCGGCCTAACTAACCCGTTGATTGTAATACTCTCCAATACAGAGAGCTAGCTGCTCGGTTATGTTAGCACCCGCCGGTAGCATCACCACCATGCTATAGTTCCCACAGACCGCTTATCGTTCAATTGTTCGCCGTAGATGTCTTCCTCTCTTCCCCTGCGAAATTTTTCTTATTCTTGTTGCGCAGTTTGTGGTGGTTCATCAAAGCGCTGCCTTTGGCTGACTGCTGTCCGGTGACTCTCGAGCCCTCGACTCGTGCATGTGGGCAGTCTGCGGTTTATTATGGCGGACCCAGAAGGGGTCGAGAGCGTCAGCACAACACTGGGCAATATGGGCAATAGGAGGGGAGGGTGAGAGAAGGGGCAGAGCAACATAGAGGAAGCAGTCTCTGAGCAAAGACAGAATTTTTCATGGTTGGTGTTGGGGTTGCGCTGTGGTGGGGTCTCGGGTTTGGGTTAAGAGGGTAGGGTGTGACTGCAGACCATCGGGGAACCATTTCCTAGTCTAGGGGCTGTTGTTGGCTGGTAACTACAGTAGGCCTGATGATTGCCGCAACAAATATAAGGCCCCAGCAAAGGGCTAAAGAAGACGAGTCCTGAGCAATTCTGCTTGCAGGCTTGGCTCTGTACTGCCGTATCAAAGTAACGTATCAAAGTTTTTATGTGAGTTTTTACGAGTGAGGACGAGCGTGTACGCCCGGGGTGAGATGTGGGTTATTCTTACGTATTCTCGTGGGTTCTGGACAGTAGCTATGAACTTTTAATGACCGTAGGCTCCCCCACTTTGGCGTGGGATTCTATGGAGTATCCGACCCGTTCGGGTCCTCTGCGACAGAGAAACGGGTGCATTAGTGAATGCGCATTCGGAGATAATGGCTACTGGAGTGCTGGGCGCCATTCCATGCGATTTTGATGATTTGCGTAATGTGAGAAAGTGGTTTGGGTTGAATAATCGGGACGAGCAGACATTTTTTTGGTGACATACGACTTATTGATGGGATAGTCGCCCATGGTGGTATTAAACGAACATAATAACGTGGTCCTTAAGTGCTTTCGGGGGGCCCTCGTTACGGACGTTAGGAATACCATCCCGGCCTCCAGCTGTAAGGAAACGTGGAAGTAAAACCTTTCCCCGTGCCTCTATGCTTAACATCAAAATAAATGTTCTTGCGATTGGCATGACTTTGCAAGGGAGTCGTATGTAAGGTCAGCGCGGCATTCCTGACATGTATAAGCCCTAAAGTTCCAGAAACCCATCTCCTGGTACCGGAATCCTACAGCTAAATGTTACATTGTCCCTATAGCAGCTCTTCCCATGCTCGAAAAAGCACAAAGCTGCTATTGATCAGCATCGCCACTACCGACATCGTTGCCCTTCCATGCCTAAGGCTAGTAAATAGAAGTTAGACGCTGCTTCCTTACTATTATATGCGGAACTATTATCGCGTAGATCCCATCTGAAGTCGGTACTGTTCACGAATGACCGGCCCTATTTGCCTTTTGCTAGCAGGAAGCGATTTCCTTGATCGTGAAGTATTTTGGAAATCTGTATATATAGGGTCGATCATTGGTGAACAGTACCAGTCACGCATGGCCGTAAGCTTCTCACTCTATGCAAAAACCAACTGGCGGTAAGCAGAGTACTAAAGGAATTCCATGGGCTCCAATGAATTATGTGTTGTGCGCGTTGGTTGCTGCCTCAAGCCGTACGTGCGTACAGCAAAGCTTCTTACAGATCTTTGCAAGCTCTCAGCAAGGTGTAACTATTGCAGATCATTGGTTACAAAGCTAGAACCTGCAGCATAGTTTGATCTGGAGTTAGGGGGTCGTGGGCACCGTCAGAGAAAACTTTGCAGTTGCCACTCGATTTTGCTGCTCCAGTTAGCGTGCAAACAATGTTGCGGGGAGCAATTTCACAATGCCCAGCGGCAACGGACCGGGTGAGCATTCCACTGTCCCTGTGCCGGGAGAAAAAGCAAGAGAACGCGGGCACAGCAAGTTTTGGAGCTTATTACTGATAATGACGTGGATTACGCAGGCTACTGCAAGTTCTGCGCGCTGCTTGGCGCCTGTCGGTAGGTGTTGGATTCTGTGGTCGTGGCCGCGGGCGCGCCTTCGCAAGCTTCGGAGGTCGACCAAGACCTTCGCCCATTTCATCCTGTCCTTTTGCAGCCCGCTCAATTAAGAGCGTTGTTCCAGTTCGTCGCATCCGTGCTGAGACGGTCAGTGGCCCGCGCGCCGGCCCTGCTGGCAGCTACTCGGGCGAATGGGACAAGCTGTCAGTGGAGGAAATTGACGAGTGGCAGGACCGGGGGCCTAAGACCCCTTTGCTGGACACCGTGAATTATCCGGTTCATATTAAGAACTTCAACTTGGACCAGCTGAAGCAGCTTTGCAAGGAGCTTCGCAGCGACATTGTGCACACCGTCTCGCGCACTGGCGGACACTTGAGCAGCAGCTTGGGCGTTGTGGAGCTGACAGTTGCCTTGCACTATGTCTTCAACACGCCGGAGGACAAAATTATTTGGGATGTTGGCCATCAGGCGTATGGCCATAAGATTCTAACTGGTCGCCGCAAGGGTATGGGCACCATCCGCCAAACGAATGGCCTTTCCGGTGAGAGGATCTGGCGTTTGATTTTTCCCTGCGCTCGGGGAAAACTTGGAATGACGAAAAAACTCCCATACACCCCGCTCCTGACGCGCTTGTTTTCGACGAAAGAGTGTATCACGTACACCCTTTACCACGCTTACAGGCTTCACCAAGCGAGAGGAGAGCGAGTATGACCCCTTCGGCGCGGGCCACAGCTCGACCTCCATTTCAGCCGCGCTGGGCATGGCTGTGGGCCGTGACGTGAAGAGCAAGAAGAACAATGTGATTGCGGTCATTGGTGACGGTGCTATTACTGGTGGTATGGCCTACGAAGCCATGAACCACGCCGGCTTCCTGGACAAGAACATGATTGTGATCCTAAACGATAACCAGCAGGCAAGTTTTGAACTTCCCGCCAATTTTCCACCGCTGTCCCGCCTGGCATGTCTCCGCCTGGATTTCATGGAAAGAAGGGAACAGGAGGAGAGGGAAAAGGAGGAGAGCAGAAAGTAGGGTTCCGGAAGGAGGGAAAGAAACAAGAGGTTAATGGAGGAAAGTATTTTTGCGCACCAATGATTTAGCGCACAAGTGCAAGGAGGAAGGGGACACATGAAGGGGTGTTAAACTGTATTAAACTTAAAACGCACGCCAGCAATAAACACAATCGACCACCCCGGAAGAAACACACATGTGTACGACATAGGTAATGAATTATTGGGCCGCGTGTTTTGGCAAGCCTTGGTTCCAATTTTCCTCAACGATCAACGCGCTACCGTTATGTATTAACCACCAATACCCCTTCCACCCCCTTGGGCGGGGCCTCTTTCCAGTTCAGATTTCCCAAATTCTAAAATGTTACAGATTGAGAAGCTTCTGGGCCTATAGCACCCATAAAGATATTTGCCTAGAATTGAACAATAACTGAAAATAGATATTTCCGGTCACGACTTGGGAACCCAGGCTGGGGACCTCGACACACCGGTACTCGGGTACCCAAAGTATATAATCTCCATTTTTTGGGGCGTTGCGTTCCTGCTGCTACCTGGTGATGATTTCCCTGCTTTTGTCCAACTTAACATTCGCACCACAAAAAATCAGATATGATATTTGGCGGAGTGGCGAAGTGGAGAGGGGGTAAAAACACGTGATAGCGCCCACGCATGCCAGCGAGCGGCCGTGTGTGTTTTGCTTTGTACGGCGCCCGCTTCAGGTCTCCCTGCCTACCCAGTATAACAACAAGAACCAGGACCCCGTGGGCGCTCTTTCCAGCGCTCTGGCGCGGCTGCAGGCCAACCGGCCCCTTCGGGAGCTCCGCGAGATTGCCAAGGTGCGTGCGGACGAGTGTCGGGGGCCGGAAGGGGGGGGGTGGAGAGACGAACCACGAACGAGTGAAGCTGCTCGGACGGGGTGGAGGGAGCGGGAGCAGGAGAATGGGGAGAGAATCAGGGGGAGTAGCGGACTAAGGGTGTGGATGGGGGGATGCGGGACGGGATAAGCGGGATGATGAGGGTAAAGGGGGTGCAGGATGACGTATGTATGTGTGGAGTGAGAGAGAGAAGGGAAAGAGGAGGATAGGCGAGCATGACGCTATGAGGTGTGTGTGTGTGTGTATGTGTGTATCATTGTGTGTTGGTTTTAGCGCACTTTTTTGGTGGGGAGGGGGAACTGATGTCATGGACTTGGGGTTTATGGTGGAGGTGGCTCTTTGGGGCCTTATGCGGGTGTTGGTGCCTGGGGGGGGGGGAACGATCGGTTTATGGGTTTTGCACACACACACACACAGTGTATATATCACATATACCGCACTGACAGCGAATGGATACATATATACATACATATATATCGTGGCGGGTATATTCGCGGTCAGTGTCCTGACCAACAAGATGTTTCGCCGTACTTGATGATATCCTTGCGTCTCCACCGACCCTCACCCTCACCCCCACCAACAAGACGACATCATCGCAGCCATATCCTCCCGCAAACATACATACAGACATACCGACATACGCACCTGCGTATACGCACATGCACACACACACGACATGCAGGGAGTTACGAAGCAGCTCCCGGACGTGGTCCAGAAGGCGACGGCTAAGATTGACGAGTACGCTCGCGGTATGATTAGCGGCACCGGCTCCACGCTGTTCGAGGAGTTGGGGTTGTACTACATAGGGCCCGTGGATGGCCACAATGTGGATGACCTGGTTGCCGTACTCAATGGTGGGTATATGCGTGTGTGTATAGTGAGTGAGTGTGTAGGGGTTGGGAGTGGGAGTGGGGGGGTGAAGAGGGGGGAGTTGGGGGGGTATGTGTATGTGATAGAAGATTGTAGGGGGGGAAAAGGCGGGGGGCGAGGGGTGGAGCTGGGGGAATGAAAGCAGCTCGTTCAGGACCGCGGTTTGAGAGCCGTGTTGATTGTCCGACTTGACTTGACTTGACTTGACTTTACCGTGCCCGTTCCGGTGACACCCGCACCCAGCCCCATCATTTCATTACCCCTCTCATCGCTCTAGACCCCTGGACGCGTCGGTCAGTGTGTTTTACACGATGATGGATCCCCCCTCAAAGCGGCCCCCTATCCTGCACACCAACCCAAACCACACCACCAGTTGGACCACCATCTGCATGCCCTCGTCGCGGCTTAGATCGTTAAAACACACCACACCACACCACACCCCATCTCACACCGTAGAGGTTAAGAGTGCGGAGACGGTGGGGCCCGTGCTGGTCCACGTCGTGACGGAGAAGGGCCGCGGGTACCTGCCCGCGGAGACGGCGCAGGACAAGATGCACGGAGTCGTGAAGTTTGATCCGCGGACGGGCAAGCAGCAGCAGGTGTGTGTGCGTCTGTACGTCTGCACGTCGGTTTATGTGTGTGGGGGGGTATGGCTATTCGCGTCATGAGGCGCTGTGGGGATGGAGAGGGCTCGGAGGGCGGGGGAAGGAGGTGCGGTTGAGTGGGAGGAGGGGGGAATTGGAAAGCCGGGAGAGGTGGGCACAACACAGGAAGTGCAAAACCCAACTCCTAAAACAGCCTAGTCTTGCCGCACGCACAGGCCAAGACCAAGGCGATGTCGTACACTAACTACTTTGCGGACGCACTGACCGCGGAGGCGGAGCGCGACAGCCGTATCGTTGCCGTACACGCGGCCATGGCGGGCGGCACCGGCTTGTACAGGTACGGCGTTTCGATAAGATCACGCGTGTGTATTACCCCGTGCAGGGAAGCATGCGCTTGGGTGCATGCGGCGCACGTACATGCCGTATGTATACACATAAATATATACACATATAGGTCAGGCACTACTGGTAGCGCACACACCGATGCCCCCGGAGGTTCCGGGATCGAGACCTGTCAGGATCTAAAATCCATCCGATGGTGGGAGGTGAAAGTGCCCCTTGTCGATGGGCGATGGTGACCTGGGATACAATTGACTTGAGAGCTGACCAGGAATGAAGTTGAGCCGCCGTTGATCCGGCTAATTCCGTTGGATGCCGGTGGTGGGTGATGAACCTGAGCAATCCAGTGAGAAGTCGGCTAGGGTGACTAGATGAGGGTGCCCCGAAATACCGGGGAAGGCAGGGTTTCTCCGGGTAGCTGCCACGGGTGAAGATATGACCCCCCTGTCCCACACACCATATAAAATGGCCGTAAATTTTGGCCATTACATTCGGCCATTTCTGTAATGGCCACGACGTACACAACAGGTTCTATTGTGCTTAGACTCGGTCTGCAGTAAAACGAAACGCTGCACTACCGGCGCAGCAGAGCACGCTATGGGGACAAGCAGCTTGTGAAATGTTTACTGCTGCTTTGCGATTACAATTCCAGTGTTGAATCCACCTAAGAGCTAAGAGTGCGTTGTTCTTCGCGACGGTGTGGCGAGAGGTGTATCAGCAACGCCATCCTTCTTTGTGTGTCGTCCGTGTGCTGCATTCGCTTCGGCGTCGCTCTTTGCGCGGACCTTGTAACTTGTAACATAATATCGGCATTATCATGTGGATAGAGTGGTAATTGGTGAATTTTAAAACACAATTCGCTGACGTTGATGGCGCTACCACCCTTCTATTTTGTTTTTATTTTTGCTTACTTATTTATTTATTTATTTATTTTTGGTTTTGTTTTTTTGTCTTTATATATTGTGTTTATTATATCTTATATCATATTTTATGTAAAGAAATATTTTTTGTTTGTCTTCAGGTTTGAGAAGCGCTTCCCCGAGCGGGTGTTTGATGTGGGCATTGCCGAGCAGCACGCGGTCACCTTCGCCGCGGGCCTAGCGTGCGAGGGCCTGGTGCCCTTCTGCACCATCTACTCGACCTTCATGCAGCGCGGGTACGACCAAATCGTACACGACGTCTCCCTGCAGAAGCTGCCAGGTAGGTGATTATGTACGGCATGCAGTGTACGGATGCCTCTGATACGCAAAGGAAATTGTCTGTTGGAAGACAGTCTTCCTGCCGATGTTTCGGATGGTTGAGTGGTTGAGTGAGTGGTTGAGTGAGTGGTTGAGTGAGTGGTTGAGTGAGTGAGTGGTTGAGTGAGTGGTTGAGTGAGTGGGTGGTTGAGTGAGTGAGTGGTTGAGTGAGTGGTTGAGTGAGTGGGTGGGTGAGTGGGTGGGTGAGTGGGTGGGTGAGTGG